GCAACCAAAACCATTAAAATATAAACAATGTTTTATTCCTTTGAGTATATGTGTTGAAACACAAAAATGATGCTTTAACCAACTAAGAAACTATCTATCTAACTAACTAACTTTTTTCTTGCTTAATTGTTAAGGATTCTTTTTAAATAGCTTTACTTTTGATTTGCAGATTCTGTGATTAAAATTGAAAGTCATGGAAACATTTTTAAAAAACATAATATTCGGGCATTTGAGTTTTTCTTTAAACTCGCTTTAAACCACAACCAGACAAGAAAAACTTTACACTAATTTTCTCATCTCAAAATGTCAGCAAAACAAAAAGTTATTACTGCTTATGATGGCATTATTTGTTGGATTTATTATATAAAAATTATTACAAAAATACATTTAGAAAATGTTTTTACAGCTGACATATTAAGGCATTGACCTCTTTAACAAATTTTTGGCTTAACGCTCAAATTGTGCTAAACACACAGAAAGAAAATCAAGCTCAGCTAGAATAAAAGAGCTTTTTGTCTTTTCTTCTTAGACATAAAGCCTTAGGACAATTTATTTTACTTATAAATAAAATGCTGATTATTCAAATGGATAATCTCACTCCGGTCTAGACACAGCAAATTGTTTCCCAGCCTGCTGTTTGCATTTAATGTGGGAAACAGGAAACTGTAGTCTGACCCACAAAGTTTCAGTAACCAAAAGACATTTTATGCCTTTTGTTCAACAGGGAGAGAAAATCATGTGCTTTTTTGTTAACTCTTTCATCAACTCTCCCTCCATCCTGCCGCCCCTTTGCTCTGTCAACATGTTTACAATAAACAGGCAGAACTCCCCTTTAAAGGGGCAAAAAACACACAAAAAATATTACTGTCATAATAAGTAAATTGCATAACAGTTAACATAAATACATACAGATAGTAAGAGCAAAAAAAGCAACAATGACTGAAATCAGATATGATCCTAGGCCTCTGAAAGACAATCGTGTTTTTGAGGCTGCACTGAATTCCTGCTGCAGCTGTGAGGTACATATCTTCTGAGGCAGGATGTTCAAACAACAACAGACCCTACCCTCTCCTCCTGTACCCTCCTAGAACAGGACATGAGTGGACATCCTGTCAGCAGAGGTCTTTTCCTCTGTAAGCTATTATTAGCAGAAATCAGGGTTCAGTTTACTCTGCTGGGCCCTAATAAGGTGTCATATCTCATTTATGAAATTTATAATAATTTCTACTCTTAATAACTAGCAATAAGCTAGCCTCTGAATTACTTAAAGCAAAGGGACATGTGCACAGGTTCAACCAACAGCAACAAACTCCAGAAAAGGAATGTTATTTTAGAATATTTAGCAAAAAAACAGTCCAACCTGCTCCTGCTTCTTGATTATCTAAAATCAGACATCTAAATGTTGAGATACACACCCTTGCTTAAAGGAAGGAAAGAGGATTTTTCTCAGGAATTAAGTGTCCAGATTACTCTAAAATAACTTATTTGATGGATGACATGATGGGGCCTATAAAATATTAACCAATTCACTTTCCCTACTGTTGAAAGTGGATTTGCTACTTCTTTGTTAATCAAACATTTTGTGTGCTTGCCCCCATGATGCTTACGTAGTAGGCTCCAAGCAAAACTCATAGTTTAGCGGTCCGCCATTATGCAGAATGACAAAGCAATATTCTTTTTTTAAGCTATTTGTTCACTCTTTCTTGTAAACTGCATCATCAATGACCGAAAAGAATCCTGATAAACTGAAAAGAAAGCATTTTTTTAATGTAGTTGAAAAGAGGAGAGAAAGTGGGAGAGAATAGAGTGTGTTCAGGAGATTCTTTTCAGAGATGGCGGACCCTGAGGGAGCAAAAGGGCCTGAAAATGTAAACTTTGTTTGCAAAACTTCTCCTGCACAGTTAATTTACATTTAATTCTGTAATAAGTACTGTATATTTTTTTATTACGAAACATGAAGTGATAATGCCAGCAGAGACCTCTTCTTATTATGGAGATTTCCCGCAGACTAGTTGCATCCTGTCACTTTGCTGCCTCTCTAGTTGAAATACAAAATTAGAGTAGAGAACTTTTGCGAAGCAGGGAGCAAGCACTTCGACACAGCAGTTGGACATATCTTCCACCACAGAATCCTCTTTCCTGCCTTTAAGGTGCCTTGGAAAAAAATATTCATACCCTTGAACTCTTTTCATTTTCGTCCTATAGTAGTACTATACTTTAATGTATTTCACGGAAGACAAAAATTTACATTATATTTGCATAATTGAAAAAATGTTTCTGAACACATTTTTATAATGACATACTGAAAAGTATGACATACATTTGCATTCAGTTTGCTTTTTTCTGATGACTCCATGGTTTAATGCAAACATCACCTGCTCATCAGCTAAAGGAGAGCATCCTGTGACAAACGAACGCAGCTGACAGGTGTGGGAGAAAGTTATGCAGATCTTTAAAGGTGCTGTAGGAGATCTTGGAACAACAGTTCCAGCAAGCTATATTTTTTAACATACACAACCATGCCTCTCCCTTCAGGCCTCCCCTCGAAGCCACGCCTTCAAAACACATGAACGCGCATGCTGTCTGCAGCACAGCTGATCTCGGAGCTGGCAGGGAGACAGACAGCACTGATGATGCAGAGCGCTATGATCACTCCTCTGAGACAGTTTATTAACGCCTAAATTACCTTAAAAACATGTTCGTTTTTATTATCCTGATGCCTGCAGTTTGGATTACGTACATGAAAAACTCCTTCCAACCGGGCCACAGGCTGCTGCTGAATGGGATTCCTAGTGACAATGCGCCGCCGGTGTACGTGGGTCTGAGCGGCTCTTGTAGAAATAATATTTCAAGGAAGGATGGTAATCTGGATGAACTGACTGTACTGTCAATGTTTTCAGGTGGACTTTCTCACTTCAAAATAGATTCAAATTACTTTTTACCCACTGGTCACAGCAAATATAGCTGCCATTATTACAGGCAAAGAAGCTCCACCCAACACGCATCAGACCCACTTTTTCCACCGTGCAGCTGGTGCAGCAGAGATGCTTCAACTGCACATCAGAGCTAAACTTGTACAAGCATCAAAAATGAAGCAGCACACGCATTTTTGCTGCTCTTGCCTCTTTAGGTGTGAATAGGGTGACCAGACATCGCCTTTTTCCCGGACATGTCCTACTTTTCATACCTAAAAAATGTCCAGGGGGAATTTCAAAATCGTCCGGGATTTTGGTCGACTACAGTACAGCAGAACCGAGCCGTGAGCTCCAGGGCTGGGGACAGAGTGACCGGACCTGACCTGTTCATGTGTCAGGTTACTCGGACAGCGGGGAAGGACAAGCAGAAGACCATGATTGACATGTCAGGAACCAATCTTGTACAACGGACCGTCTTTTGTGATTGGTTGTGAGTGGTTGGCATTATTCATTGATTTCTATCTTAGCGGGGACTATTTATTTTAGTTTCACTTCTAGACCTTCTATTTCACTGCTTGCTAAGCTGCTGTGGGGAGATTTTTAAGCCACATAGTAAAAAATGTGTCAGAAAAGTTCTCCTACTACACCTTTAAATCACAGTTGCCAGGAGACCCAGAATGACTTAGGAAGACTTATGGGATGCACAGCTAAGGAGAATCTGCCTACAGTCAAATCTTGCCTTTACAAAAGAGGAGCAAGAAGAAAGAGTGTTAAAAATGCCTAATTTCAAGTTGCCACAAGAGGGACACAGCAAACATTTGGAAAACAATGCTAACTGTGGACTCCATCCAGAACACACCACATCCTGCTGCATAAACACAAATGCTGGTCAGCAAAGGAAGATAAATGAAATAATATACAAGTTAATCCTAGAGAATCATTTTACATCCTGCAAAATTCTTCAGACTGGGTTAACCTTCCAAATGATTGACTGGCCAAAAGATACTTTACATTCAATCTAGTCAACTTTTGAGTTATTTTGTGGGGAAACAATTGCAAAAACGTATGATGTGCAAACACCACTGGCAGCCCCCAATGACCCTGTATGGATTTAGAGGATATAAACGATGGACATATGGATGGACGGACATACCACTCAAAGCACTTTTGCTCTACAGCCACGTTAACCTGGTCCAACACTTTTCTACAGAAATGTTAATTGGTAGGCAACTACTGATTAGGGCCCCGTCCACACGAAGTCAAAACGAACACGAAACGCTGATATTTTCCAAAACGTTTGTCGTAAAGACGGAGACGTAAAATAAATGTGATCGTCCACACGAATGCATGAAAACGCTGCAAAATGTATGCCAGGCCTGTAAGTGGCGCTGTGGTGCCAAAGCAAAAATAAGCGACGAAATGTTGGGCATGCGCACTAATATTTATACATGGTTGCCCTGCGGGTCCATTTTCGTGGTTAAGTCAAATTCAGGTGCTGAACTATGTCGTTGATATTGCTCTGTTCTTCCTGGAGATATTCCAGAAGAAGAAGATTCTGTTGTAAGCCCGACAGCAGGGTGAGTAGCATTAGCAGCAACCATTCAACACAGTACGGCGCCATTGTTGTTGTGATACTGTGTCGCGCATGCGTGTTTAGAGGCGACGCTATGACGCATGCGTGTAAAAAAAAAAAAGCTTAAAGATGGAAACGCGAAAACTGCGTTTCAGAATCTTCCCACTCTGAAGGTTGAATAAAAAAAAGATCGTTTACAGACCCCCGAAACGCCGGCTTCGTGTGGATGAGAGGCTGGTTTGGTTAAAAATTTGTGCGTTTAGGCCAGGGTTCGGCTTCGTGTGGACGGGGCCTAGGAGCACTGCCCAAGGGCACATTGACAGGTTGTGGAAGATGGAATCAAACAATTGCATGTTGAATATCCTCCACACTAAAACACAGCCACTCTGGTTCTGCAAAGCACTGAGCCTGGAAGGTTGAGGGTTTATGTGCAACAAATGGAATTAAAAAAAGGTATGGATCCATTTTTAAAGCACAGTATCTGGCCATACACTAACTTTAAAAAAGTCTACCTTGTGTCCAGCTGTGTTGGTCCCACTGTCTTCCACCACCGAGCTGGGAAATCTCAGAGAAATGTTTCACTGAAAGAAAAGGAAAAAGAGTGATAAGACTTCCGAATGCAGACACACCCACGGCCACAGGGACAATTTTTTTCATAATCTCTTACCATAGGGTGTTTGAGGAGACACTGGGAAAGCTGGAGTCGCTGGGATGAAGTCAGAGCTGTCTACTTGTCCGCGGAAATCCACACTGGTAGTTTTATAGAGCTGACCATGCTTTAAAACGAAAAGTACAGAGAATGAGGTGAGGGGAAACCGAACAGGAGATGTTTCTTTATTAAGTGTTAAGAGGTGACAGCCTCCCCCTCACACACAAGCACACAACAGCAGACATCAGTCTTGTGATCCTTGTGTGGCTGCAATCTGTGTTTTGGTCTAAACACTCGGGCCATTCATGCAACACAGGCTAAATGCTGGGTGAAAGAAAAGTCCAGACTTTCCAAAACGAAAAGGCAGAGAAAGCAAAACAGTCAGTGACACCGAAAGGGGTTCCTTTAGATAACTAAGGTGATGTTTAAAAATAGAGCAATGAACTAGATCCACATTAAATCAAGCTGGTGAAGAGCTTAAAAGGCTTTATAAAAGAAATTCATTTTAACTTTATTTTGTTACCACAAATGATCAGGGAATTGTATTACAGTCAGGAGTCCAGCTGATATTAAACTATCAACTAATTACCCTAAAGGGGTGACAGAAGCTCTTGAGATGTATATTCCTGTTGAGCTAACCAAAGAGACCCATAAAGGCATGTTTGCAGTCATTGCTTTAAAATTGGCTCACATACAGAAAAAATGCATTAAGTATTTCTGCTTGTTTCAAGAAGACAGGATTCAGGACGCCCCAGCGCATTAAGCTCTAGGATTGCCTCTGCTGAAAAGGGACACAAAAAATGAGGTTGGTACCATTGCAGAACTTTCTTAAAAGATGGTCTCAGGTTGATGTGAGACTTGTCTACACAGTGAGGTACAGACACATGAACAAGAACAAGAGAACGGAATCGTTTTAGTCTAAGGGTGGAAACGGAAACCAATGAAAAACTGAAGAATTCTCCTTTTGATTGTTTGGAATATCTCAAGAAGAAAAGGTGAGATTGAGTTTTCAAATTGTTTTTGAGTGGTGCTAACGATGAAGCATGCCCAAGAGCACTAAAATGATTAACAAGAGGGATCCAAACATAATCTGGCAGCAGAGAGAATCTGATTTTGTACAATGAACTGTGTCACAAGCTAAATATGATTATCAGCATTAAAGGATTGGAACACAGACATTTTGGATCCATAGTGAGAAGTGTCAGTATATATATATATTATGAAATACCCAAAGCAGGTGCAAAAAGACAGCCACAAACTAAGATTGACTTAGACTTCTTTCTAGACCAGAATGGGTTATCATCAGTCAGATTCAGTCTAACAATCTTAATGGTCTTTCATCATCATATAAAAACATAATCACCACTGAAGCATTACAAATAGTATTGCCTTTGTGTCATTCCAAAAACCTTAATTCAAAGCTAAAGGCTTAGCTGTAATCTCTTCAAAAATTATTTAAAAACATTTTTTTAATTTTATTTTTTTGTTTCTTTTGCAGCTACAGGTAGGCCACTTTTATCTGCAGTTGTTAACAAAAATGTATTAAGGTTATGTTTCTTCAGGGCCAAAATTTGTTCAGAAGAAGCTGAGATAAAGTTAAAATATCTCATTAACCCAGCATGTTTCCTGATATATTAATTTGCCTAACTTTGCACCATATTTAATGTGTAATGGCTGCAAAAATACATAGAACTTGCCAGTAAACACATTTGTTTTTTTCAACACTGCAAAATATACATTATTTGTATTCCTTCAAACACATTCTACATGACATCCAGTCACTCATGGTGAAACTAAGTTTACCTGAGAGTTTAAAAAGGAGCTGCTGTTAGCTGGGGAATTTATGAAGCTCTGAGATCCAGCCCCCCTCCATCCTGGACTCTTTGGAGCAGCAGAGTCTGTCACGTCGCTGACATATCTCTGCTGTTTCCACCCTGATCAGGAGAATTGTGATGAAGACAGAGATGAGGATGGGAAGCGGAAAATAAAACAGATTATAATCTCACAGACAATCTATTTGAGACTCAGTCATGTGCTGCTGTTACTCACTTTTACACACGCAGTCTGGCTCTCTTAAAAAAATAAGGTATGACATTAACCTAAACTCACCTTGTTAAAAAAGAAAGACACTGACTGAGCAATAAAGGTTGATGACAGTGATTATTGTTTGACTTGTTTGTCTATTGACGGAACCTTCTATCCGTGTGTTTTATCAGCAGAGTCAAAGCTTGTGTGACTAAGAGAGCATGAACGGCAAACAGATGGTGGAACAGTGCAGCGTCTCGTCTGAAAAACATCTGTTGGAAAAATTAGTTTTTTTTCTTAAATATGGTTACAATCTAGTCCTCCAAGCTCAGAATTATGCAGAGGTTGTTCAAAATATGCATGTTTGCTCGTTTTCTAACACAACATTGTGATTTGTTTGGTTTTGGGAAGACAGAATAAAGTTATGATTTGAATTGCAAAAATAATCGGGGACTCTGTCAAAATGAGGGAAATGAGGAGCAAAGCGTAGTCACCGCTCACATGTTTTTTACCATCATTTTAAATAAGCTGCAGTTTTATCCATAAAAATGCTAATCTTCAGAGCCGGTAAAAATCTGGTTTTATATTTTATTTGCAATGTTTTTTTCTGACCTCACTTCCCAAGGTGTGCTCACAGTGTGCTTCCTCATGGTAGAATTAGTGCAAAAGCTGGCTTTCTCTGCACTATCTAAAGAAAAAACATACATATTCTACTGCTAAGATAATAAAAGTATTGATGTTGTTCACAGAGTTGAAATTAGGCTGACATTGGTGGGGAATGTGTGAAAACATCTTATGCACATATATTAATTGGATTATTCCAAAGTCAGTTTTGAAAACTCTTTGGTATATGTGATGTGTTTGAGGTGTTGTGGTTGGAATAGCAAGTGGAGGAGAAATATTTTGCTTACGAAACTAGAGGGACGATGGCTTCACCAGATGCATGAAGGTGGTACAGAACTTGCTCAGTAATCAAGCTTTTTCACACTTATACACTTTTTGCCCAGTTTTTCCTGCTAATTGAAATCTTTACCTGCATTTTTAACACCATTTATTCCTGTTAACTTTTCTTTAGTTTGAACAACTTTGTTTTTAAAACATTAGGGTTTGTCTTTAAACCCAGGCACATAATGGGTTTGAAATCTCTTCTACTGGTATTTTGAAAGTTGAAAACTGGGAGGTTTAAAAATCACTGACACAGAGGCTAAGAATGTAAAGGCTCTGTTTTCATCAGCCTAAAGGTTCCATGAAAGCAAAGCTGGAATGAGCCACTGAATTTAATCCAGCTACTGTTCCTGTGGTGAGTTTTGCCAAAGGAGCTTCCATGAAAGTCTCAAGTATCAGCTAATGTCCACCGTATTTGTACCAGGACTGTACCCTTTTCAAAAAGATGAGAGGCTGAAGGTGTTATGTCAGAACTTCAAAAGAATTCCTAAACGCTTACCAGTTCCTCCTTGAAACCATCCCCTAAAAAAATAGTCACTGTAATAATAAACAGACTCAAGTGTTAGGTATGGCTTATAATAGGCCCTGCAGGAAATGTCAGCCACCAATTCTGGACATGTTGATCTGCTTTTGTACAAACACTTAGACTATATTTTGGTCACATAAATTCTAGGTTGTAGCCTAAGCAAATAAGTAAAGGATGACAGGTCAAATTACCTGGTTAAATAAAGGAAATGAAAAAAAAAATGAAAAATTGATGGAAAGATGCTAAGAAGAGAGGACTGAGTCACTGCAAAGAACATTTCTGTAAAATCTTGAAAATTTTGAGATTTTCTAGATAATTCTAATTCACGCATTCTGGGGTCAGCTCAGTTTGAACAGCTGTTTTTCATGCAGAGGGCTTTAAAGTGGAGACATCCCACATATGACACTGCTAACATAAAAACAATCTGTGACAAAGGTCACTTAATAAACCTGAAGGCACCTTCCCAGTGGGTATAATGTAATAAAATAATCATTCAGCATGTATTAGCTAGTTGCAGCAGTTACAGGGAAGATAGGGCAGCATGGAAACTTAAACGGTATCCCAAAAAGGCATAATTTGGGTTATTCTTTAGTTTGCTAATATAAAATCTTCACACTGAATTGATGAGCAATAGCAATAATCTAAAAATATCCCTGTTAGCAGTAAGCAGTAAATTAGCAGTCTAGTTTCTCATCTCTAAGACTTCACAATGACTTCATTTAGCAATCTGCTTCCCAAAAAGGGCGACTCATTAATTTACTTGGACTGCCTTGCAGTGCTAAAAGGGTCAATTATGCCTTGTTTTGTGTCTGAGTTGAGAACATCAGCCCACTATTGCTGCCCAAAAACCCTGCAGGGCAAGACAACAATCTAATCCTTCCCCTATGCCCACATCTACCTCTGTCCTTCACCAGTTCAAATTATTGCCAAACTATTCCACTCTGAAATGGGATAATCCTTAAAGAAGCTGATGCCTTAGGATGTGGTGTTTTTGTTTCTTGTATGTAAACAGCAATGACGCCAATATACCCTCACATGTTATGTATACGCATATAAGGCCATCATGAAACATGTAATTTATTCTTCTCTTTATGGGAGAATTGAATTAACATCAGCAAAATATTCAAAGTAGGCCTTCCATTGCTTTTTTTGTTTTTAAGTCAACTACCTGATCATGTTATCCTTATTATCTTTCCTCTTTCAAGGAACTGACAAACAACAGTTATGATATATCAAATTATGAAACATCATAGACCCCGGTGGGATAGTACTAATAATATTCAAACTTTAGGACCTTTTGCCAAATTTCAACCACAAACTGGAATGCATTTATGGACATTTCAGGTGATAAACCAACAAAAAGGGGTCCAGAACAGTGTGGGGGACAGAAAAATCTGAAATATACGGCCTGTAAATATATAAAGTTGCCCATTACATTGTAATAACACCTCCTGCTGATTGCAAATGAAATCCTTTTGGAAATGCCGAAATCATTTTTCTGCCCTTTATTGTTTCTAAAATACGGCAGCTTAAGGTAAGTTAAACCGTATGAAGAGGGTCTTGTGACCACCACCATCCATGAGGTGTATTTAGTGCATTCGTTTTCTGCCCGGTGTAACTTTTTTGTCACATAAGCTTAAAAGTTTTATTTTGGTGCTTTCTGACTAGAGAAATTTATTCTTAGACTTAGATTGATATTATTTTGTCATTTTGTACACACAAGTATATTCAAAAAGAAATTTTGTTTAGTACAGCTCTCTAGACTTTTTCATTTTTTAAAGTGCAGCCTTGATAAAGGTAAGCAGCAGTGATAAAGTGATTCAACATTATTGCTCTGTGTCAAACATGGCTTTCAGCAAAAAATGCAGAGGAGACAACTGGCCTCTTTCAGTAATACAACAATCTTGTCACCGTTCCTATAAAGGCCATGTTTGTGGAGTCCACAACTTATGGTTGTCCTATCAACAGATTCTCCCACATTAGCTGTGGATCTCTGCAGCTCCTCCATTATAACCAGAGATGGATGGGGCTACGTCTCTGATTAAAGCTCTCCTTTTCCTAGCCAGTTAGTTTCAGCGGTTGTTTAAGTGGGTTTGGGCAGTTTTGCAGTTCGTACTCCTAACATTTCCCTGAATTTTGTTCTATGTGATGTTTGAATATGATGCCTTCCCTTAGGGGCTAGATTTATCCTGAAAACAGGTTAAACAGTCACAACACAGAAGGTGACTTCTGAATTGGTTGCAGTGAATTTTTCATAGAAGAACATTAATTAGATATATGCACCACACCTTTAAACTTTTAATTTTAAAAAATGCTTTCCCAGTTTGCAAAATACCCTTTGTGTTGGAATATCATATAAATTCCTGATGAGCATTGAAGTTTATGGTTGCAGCATCTACTACCTTAGCAGACCTTAATAGGGTTTTTGTGCTGGTAAAATTACTATAAGAGTAAAATCTATAATAAATATATTTATTGGTTTAGCCATTTTGTTTCTATATTTCCAATTCAGACCCTCTTTTCCTTTGGCAATGGCTAAGAATGAGAGGACACATTTGAAATGAGATTCAACCACAATTTGCATTCTGTACCCATCAGCCTTCTGTCTCCTACAGTCACTTTATCACTTTACTTTGGCGTGGCTGAATCATGTGACCTCAGTCTGGGTATAAGAAGGCAAACAGTAGATTAAACTCTTCATTGTGTATCACACAAAACTTTACTTGTACATCACAGGCAGAGCAGTTATCCACTACCTTTTCAATCAAACGCTTCCAACCTTCCAGCAGCACCCTTATTCACAATTTCCTGTTTTAAAAACATTGGCTGGTATTTCAAACCTGAAAAAAAGCTCCCTGTCTGATTTGGCAGAATTAAAATGTTAAATCCAGTTCCCAGACTTCATTAATCCATGAATACATTTCTTTCTTTAGTGAGGCGTGTTGTAATAGTTTTCCAGTAAAAATAGTAAATTACTTAAAAATACAGTAGTTAACAGCTGAGATATTTTATTGCCTAAGAAGTGCCAGCCCAGTTTAACAGTCATAAATGGAACTATATTTCTCTTATCAAAATCTTCTCAGGTGAAATTGTTCAAATTTTGCTTTTCAAACTAATTTCATATAATGGTTTCTGCATAGTTTAATTATCTGCACAAAACATCTTGGCACTAAGGATGGCTTTTCTGTATAAGGAGCAAAACTCTGATGCACGTATTGTAAGGTTTTGGACTCAATTGAATCTAAATAAACCTCAATGTTTGGCACAAATTATAACATTTAGATCACACAGAACATTAAAGATGCACTGCTTTTTAAAGCTACAGCAGCAGGTTTTTTGGATGTCAACAAATCTCCTAGTTTGAGTGCAACAACTCCTTGTTGGCATGTTTATTATGTTCATGGGGTTGTGTGGTTAACAGACACATTACCGAGCATAAAGTTAGCCTAAAATGAGTCATAGTTATGGCAGATTGTTGTCTAGATAAGACCTATCTGTGAAGATGCATTGATAGCAGAGCAATCAAGACCTTTTTTCGAGCTGTGCTTTTTTCATTTTTGAACCGATATTGTGGATATGTATTATTAAAGGTGAGTTTCAGCAGTTTGAGGTTGGAAGCTCTTCAGCTCTCCTCACAGACTCCCCATTAGAACTAAGTCAGCAAACTCTTTCCAAATTATTATTTCACAATGCAGCAGCATTGTCGCTGACATCATAACAAAAGAAATACACCATGTACTGACAAAAAAAACATAATTTGACAAAATGACATAACAAAAGTGACAGATATAATTTATGTAAATGTTAAAATCTCTCTCAAAATATGCTGTATTACTTTATTTTCAGACTCACACTTACACTGGCATTATAAGAACCATATTGCCAGCAGCTATCAAAACTGAAGGTCCGGAAAATGATGTACTTTGCTTCAATTCTCATTGCAAAAATAAAGCTGAATAATTGCTCGCAAAAAAAGTGAGATTTTAAGCATTCTTTTCAACTACCAATGCGCTGCTAATGTAAAGTGTTCAGACAGCTTTGGTTGGAAAAGAAGTTGCTAATTCCTGAGGACATCAAAGTAGCAATAATAATCAGACTTTTCATCCATTAACCATACTTTATTAGTACATGGTTTGTTTTCTTTTTATATGCTATTTTACAGACCTAACCTGCATGTCCAAGCATAACAAATTAGGAATGTTACTTATAATTTTCCTTAACTTTTCATTAGTCATAAAACTATAAAATGACCCTGCCTCAGCGAATGTATTTTGGACTAAATGTCGTTTTATAACAGATGCGAAAACACTTAGATTGATCATTTTGTTTAGACTTACCTGACTGATATGTTTTTCCCTTGTGGCTGAGGCCGTTGGTTTGTAAAGAGGCTGAGCGGGACAGAGGAGAACATCGAGTAGGAACTGGAACAAAAGTGGGATCTAAGTCCAGAATCAGCTGGTTCAGCTGCTCAATGGAGTCATCGATGTCTGTATTTAAGGAGGCCAGCTCATCTTCCTGACAGGATGAAGGAGAATTGCCAGGCTCTCTGTTGCCCTCATCTATGAGGCATCTCTTCACCGCTTCCCTGCTGCTTAATCCTCGTGCTGGTGTTTCAGGAGCCTCCAGACGTGCTGCTCTCTCTTTGTTACCGATTCGTATTTCAGACATGGGATCTACCTTCTGCTGCTGTCGAACCCAGGAGTGAGTGGAGTACTCCTTTGGACTCTGACTGTCAGGTAGACTTCCAGATGGGAGTGAGAAATCATTACTCTGGTTTGGAGCCTCTGAAACAGAACCTTCATCCTCATCATCCAGAATATCCGTCTCTCTCTCGCTTGATGAAACTTTTCCATTGATAGAGGCTCCCAGTCCAGACTCATCTTTAGACACCTTTCCCTCTCCATTAAAGGAAGAATCAAGTTCAGTCATGACCTCCAGGAGAGCCTGGGTCGGCTCTGAGTCTGCCCCAAAGATCAGCTTCTGGTTCCAGGTGTCCTGAGGGGTTCCTCTTCTGAGTCTGGCTCCAGTCCTCCCCTGTGAGGCAACAGAGAGGCCTGAGTCACTGCTGGCTGATGGCGCTCTGTCGCTGCAGCTCGGGCTGATAGAGGTTGGAGGGTACAGAGCTCCCTCCTCAGTACTCTTCTTTCTTACTCTTGAGTACAAATTTCCATTTCCAGACTCAGACACATTAGGAGGAGCTGGAAGAAAGCAGAAATCATTCTGGTCAGTTTGCAAAACGTGGTAGAATTTAGCAATTTCTACTTTTGAAAGATATCTAGCAGTTGTATTCAAGTAAATTAGTTAAATGAAATAAGGAAAAACAAGTCAACATCATATGTATTGTCCCATCTTGAAAGGATTTCTCTTAATCTTATTTCCACCTAAAACCTCTTTGTTGTCCAATGCACAGTGCAGACTCCCAACCTGCATTACCATGATCACTGATTCATGACTTTAAACAAACACTGTGTAGATAACACAAGGCCCTTTTTGTTAATATGGACATGACCAACTGTGAGTCTGCGTGTCAAAAAGAGGATGACGTGTCTGTCACAGTGGTCTAGCTGTGGTCAGACATGGGTGAGTGTGTGATAACACACACCTGGCGTGAAATGAGACATCTGATCCACAGATCTCCCACCATGTAGAGTATAAAACCAAACTAGCCCACATATTCTGGTGAAGATTCTCCGTCATCCAGGTCATAGTCATTCAAAAAAATATATATATTAAAAACAATCCACTGGAGTTTATTTCCAAGTTTGAATCAATTCAAAATGTCAGGAATAGCATTGAGCTTGAGGCTTTATGGGCTACTGTATAAAACCTGGAACTCAACACTATTCCTGACATTTTGAATTTAAAAAGCTTCCTGGATGGGAACAGAAACATCTTAAAACTTGGAAACAAAGTCCAGTGGATTGTTTTTATTTTTATTTTTTTTTTTTGGAATAGCCCACATATTTTAACTTTAGCACGCACTTCATTTTTATTCAACAGAAGATATTTAGATTACTATGCAATATAAGTAAAAAAGGAGAAAAAACAACCCCAGATAGGTCAAGAAAATTCCCATTTAACAAAAGCCATTTTATTTTTTCTTTGCTAATTTTGAACTCTAATCACTAGATTTAGAGTAAACAATGAAAATCAAAAGCTTTGTAGTAACTGAATTTGCAGTCTTCATTTAACAAAGTAGCTCAAAAATAACATAAACATACACTGCAAACCTTCAACACTTGAAGACGTTAATGACAAGTTTAAATCCTCCCAGCCAGTAAGTGGCGCACTCACGCTAACCTGCTCACATTAGTTTCTTTAGGATTTTTTGTGTTTGCAGTTCATCAAATTAATTCCAAAAATCAACTATGCTTTAAAATGCCTGATATATACGATAGTTAAAAAACAATGAAGGTCATTTTACAGTAATATGTGTGCTGTGGAAATAAGCCTGTAGTTCTGCTGAAGCGGTAGAGAAGCCTTGTTAGCAGCTTTTCAGATCATCTGAATTGCTGGGTCTGGTGTTTAAAACCTTACTTTTTTTTAAAACTCCACGGATACTCAAGAAGGTTTGCTTACAGTACATGCTCAATGATACCATGGTCACTATAGCTGGTATTTTTACTATAAACTGAAAATGTCCAAATTCCTGCTAAGACAGCTGCATATCCATTGCATTTTGCAGAGGGGAAGTGTGAGGTACTCTAAACTTCCCTGTTAGACGACTGATTCTATAGCTCTCCACTTTTCCTCCAAATGTCTGGAATATTGATTTTCAAACATAATACAAGTTATGCCTTTCACATGGACACAGGACCCAGGACTTTACACCACTGAATAAAAACCCCTTTTCTCATCTAGCCTAAATAAGTCTCTGCTTTATATTCTTTCTATTTTAGGAGAGGTTTAAAACATAAAATGCAACACTTGCAGTTCATGTCTTGTTGATCTCCTCTAAAACTCTTAGATATGCTTTGCTTTGCAATCCTCAAAAGGTTGAAAAAATACTTCTTGTTTGTGAACAATTATCTAACACCTTTTTTCCTTCCACTCAACTTTCAGTTAATGTCATTTAATGCAGCACTTAATAAAAGCCAACTTGTTTAACAAAGACCTTTCATGATTTACTCTTTTTATAACGGTACACAGGAAAATTGCCTGCATAAAATTTACTCAAATTCAATAAAACTTTTCTTAGACACAGAGAACATTTGAACCCTCTCTAAAAAGAGTGAAATTACCCTTTTGATGAGCTATTATTCTATGAGCTAAGAGTAAAATTCCTTTAACTCAGAGGGGTTTGATTAATTAAAATTCATACTTTTGCATCCACGGGAGTCCTACTCTTTCAAAGCCTTACACCGTAACCTACAATGATGAATTAGCTGAAAGACTTCAAGAGAGCAGAACTCGACACTCTATCAACTCACTATCTTAAATAAGTGCTGTGAAATGCTGGATAGAACATTCTTCTCAAGATATTTAAGTTCTATCCAAACGAAAAAGTTAAGCATTAAAAAAGGGTGGAGACTTGTGGGCCCTCATTGATTGCTTTTTGGCAATGATGCTGTTACAATTTAATGTGTCTAATCAATGATTAAACAGATGTTGTATGACTTTTGAGGTGATGTATTGATAGCTGCTGTTTGCTTCATATTTCAGAGATAATTATCTTGAGAGAACTGGTGATATCTTTTTCCTAAACTCTAAAAGCTGCTGAGTTATTTCGTATTAAATGGAAAAACAAGACTATATCACTGATGACATGAGAAAAAATCTAAAGAATATTTTGATTCCTTAAGGGAAGATCCCTGAAAACTGATAGCTTAATATTTGAACTAACTTCACCAAACTTCATAAAAATAGGTTCATACACCAAAGTATTCAGTACACTAAATAGCTGAAAACATAAAAGTAGTAGCTAAATAAACTTTTATTAGTAAAGGCAATCAGTTTCCAAGATATTTTAAAGGTCAATTTATTAGACTTTAGTGTGCATCAGGACGGCATGAGTAAAAGAGTCAGAATCCATATGGCAGAGAAAACAAAACTTAACTTTTACTCCAGCTCCATCCTCTACATTGATAACAGTGAAAATGTGTTCCCATTCATTGTTCCCTATTTTTAAGGAAAACACTTCAAACTCTGAAAAAATTCCTCAGCCATTATTCCTTTGTATCGACGGCTGTCCCCTGCAGCTGTCAGATCATTAGTCTTTCCCACAATTGTGAAGGTAATTTCTGTATTGAAAATCCCTTTTCTTTGGTCAGATGTGGATTTTAAAAGGTGGGTTTATTATTACCTGTTGATGATCATCAAAATGAACACAAATGAATACTTGTAATGTATTACCTAATGTGTTAATAATCTCTCTAAAATGAGTGTTATTACTTTTTATCTAATTACTACAAAGATATAGTATTCTATTCTACATGGAGCACTTGTATGTAGGTATGTATGTATGTATGTATGTATGTATGTATGTATGTATGTATGTATGTATGTATGTATGTATGTATGTATGTATGTATGTATGTATGTATGTATGTATGTATGTATGTATGTATGTATGTATGTATGTATGTATGTATGTATGTATGTATGTATGTATGTATGTATGTATGTATGTATGTATGTATCTGTTTTGTAGTTTTGTAAGAATTTAATCGAATGTGCATAATCACATTTTGCTTATGTTTTTTTAGCTGACATTTTGCCCCAACATAACCAGCAACTAACACACCTGAAAGTTTTTTAGCTCTTTAAACTTCTCCATTTCTCTCTTATTTGTTTACTGAATATTTCACTTCAGGTTTTATGTTTTCTATTTGTGGTTAAAATCTTAAAACAGATTCAGGCAGAAATGGGCAGCATAAAAAGGAAGCTCTGTTCCAGGTAAAGTTGTCTGATTTAAAAAAAAAAAAAAAAGTAGGAAAACATTGTACAGTAACTACTGTAGTACATACCACAGCTGTTTGAGAACAGCTTCTGGAGGGCAGAGAAGCAATAAAACAGAAATGCATAAGAAGCATCTAAAAAATCTCCCCATAGGTTTTTCCCACAGTGATGGTCAGTAACTAATAACCAGAAATTAAAAAAATCCAAATTAATCTGTCCTAAGGGAAATAAAAGGAAGGGGTTACTTTACCCACTGCCAGCAGGAAACTTTCACTGTCCGCTCTGCTGACTGGAAACAGGATGGAAATACTCTGCTGAAGCTTTCCTCCGGAGTTGCAGAAAGAGGAGGAGAAATGGATGACAGGCAGAAAGGAAAGAGAAAGATGACAATGAAAGCAGCATGAAAAGTTCCAGAGAAGCTCTTCTATCTGGTTCTGTTTTTTTTCGTCTGCTCAGTAGAAGTTAGACAAGCGTCTCCTGAGGTGCTAAGAGCCCTGTGGTATCCTCCCTCCTCTCCTATACTCTCTCCTTCCTCTCTCTCATGTTGCTGCACTGCACTTCAAATCCCCGCCTTCAAAGCTTTGCTTCTTTCTTTTTCTATTTTTCTGTCCCTCCCCCCCTGCATCCTGTCCCAGCCAACACAGGTAGCTGACTGAGGGTGCACTCATGCGTCTTCATCTCAGGAAAGGAAGGAAACCAGAGGGTGGATCATTCACTAACCTTACATACACATTCATAGAAGAGCGTGATCTGAACACATGATGCACTTTCAAGGAAGGGAAAGAAGTCCACAAGGACCTTGAGTTGCCCAGATTTGGAGAGGAGAATGTAAACATGGAGGCGTACTCCGGAGGAAAAGGGGGATGGGAATTAACTGGACAAATTGCAACCTGCAACTTGAACCTGAGAGGAGTGCAGATAGAAAGACTAAGGAAGATAAGGGGACAAGGTGTAAGAAGCAGTAGAGGAGAAAGCTGCATGAGGTAGAAACACTTGGGGTCCAAAACCACACATGCATGAGTACCAGAATCCTGTTTGCAGTCCTCTGTGTGTCTGTGTGTTTTCCATGTTTACGTGCCACTTTTTCACGTCTTTAAATCTAAATTACACGGCTGGCAGAGGCAGATTTAGCCATGGTATAAAACAGCTGGAACTGAAACCTCAGCTGCAGTTTGAAGCCATTGTTTCAGCTGCCTGCTGTGGGATTTTGGGATTTTGTGTTGGGGTTTTTATTCTGGAGAACTGAAAACTCAAAAAATCCACTGACTCCAAAGCTGTTTGCTGTCTAAATAGCCTTCATGCTTCACCCTAGAGATGTCAAAAAAAATCTTTCTAACTAAAACATCTGCAATTACAAGATGTTATGTGATGAGTAGCAGATAAACCACAAAAAATGTCTGTCTCTTTCTATGAAAAAGTTTTACACTCAGACATCTATGCCTGCCATCAGGCCCTGTGCAAAATAAGTTGATATGGGACCCCACCCATGAATTTTATATATTATCCCACCACTACTGCAAGCTAAAATTTAAAGAAAGTTATTAGAAGAAAATATCTAATGTATCTCTTATGAAGCGTGTTTTTGAGAAAAACAATAATGTTCTTGGCTTTAGGTTAATGGTTGGAATGTGTTAAATTTTAAATGGATTTATAGTGATGTGGAATGGTAGGAATATTTACCTAGTCTATGTTATTAAGATAAACAGAACTGCTAAAAAAAATGCTTAACTGGACTGATACTTTGCATCTACAGTATAGGATGCATCACATTAAGGAGATGTCATTACAGATGTTTACAGATGACAGTTACCATATTAATTCTCATGCGGCTTAAAAGTCTCTACTTAAAAAAAAACATTATTAAAACAGTATTTCCAAGAAAGCAGAAGACAAGCTGAAAAAGCTGGAAAAACAACACAAAAAAAAACAAATATGAGCAGGTATATAAGAAAAAAATAAAGAAAAGCAAAAATGTATAAAAGAAAAAAAGTATCTTCAATATTTATACATTTAAAAATGATCCCAAAAATATAGAGTATAAAATATTCAAAATCATATATCTCAACTATCTAAAGGTCTAAGTGTTTATGCCTGTTTCATTTTACTGTGGTTGTCTGTGTAACTCCTCTCCCATTTAAACTCCTGGAGATAAAAACTAACCCACCCTGACCCTTAATAAGTTGGTATAGACAATGACTGGATTGATAAAAAACATTTTAATGATCATCTTGTTCTCATACTTGTTGTTGACATTTTATGGGTCAGATAACCAGCCTTATATAAATGTTAAAACCAGGGGATAAATATATTTTAAAAAAGATTACAAAAGATAAGACCTATACTACATGTCTAAAATACTTTAAAATTAAAAATAAAAGCACTACTTTTAAAATGTATTTGCTGGAGACAAAAAATCAAGAAAATTTAAAAAGTATACAATAAATAAAGAGGAGAGAGAAAATTTTGGTTATCATCTTGTTTATACCTAAAGGCTTGTCTTTATTCACAGAAAAGTAACTTTATAAACATGAATATTTCCAATAATGTTTATATACATGTTCTTTTGAATATGACTTCTCGGTAATAGACATACTCTAGGTAGTTTTACTTCAACTTATTGCGTTAAAATGTTTCCCTATTTAAATTGTTTAAGTATATCATCTGGGTTTTGTAGGGTTTTTTTAACAGTGTAGTTTCCATATTTTTATTGTTTCAAGTCACAGGACGCAATATTAAGAGAATTAACTCAAATCACAGAGCATGGAGGGAAAAAAAATTTAAATGTCAGTTTACCTGCTTGTGAATGAGGCCAGTCCTGAAAAGAGTCTCTTCTGACCAAAGGGTCCAAGGTATCATAGTCCACTGTCACAGAGCGCTCATTTAACCACAGCTCTCTACCTGGACATAAAAAAATAACAAACACCAGTCACTTTATATAACAGGAAATAGATTTTAACCACTCATCTTATTCCAGTTGCTTAAAATCAAAACATGAGCTGTTACACTCTGATATATCCCTGTTTTGTTTGTCTCCGTCTCTCCCCTTGCACGCAGTATCTACTGATCTAAATTCCTCTGTGATATGTTTGTCTGATAAAACCCTTCCATTGCTTCCTGTTGAGAGTTTAAGAGACAAATTGCTGCTGCTGAGGGCCAAGTTCATTGGCATGGTGTTCAACAATGCCCCCTTCTGGTTGAAAAGAGCTTAAAGCGTTAAGAATTCGATTTTTATATGAACTCTGAATGACCAAGACTATTATGTGCTATTGTAGTAATGCTGCTATTATATTAAGGTGCTGGAGGGCATAATAACCTCTAACCTTAAACCCGTGTCTACATTTATTTGCAGGTATTGTGTAATTAATACTCCCTTAATCTTATACTCTGTGGGGGGTTTTTCTGCTGTAGTGTGTACTTTGTTTTATGTTCCATGAAAGGTTTTTCTAGTACACTGGTTCTGTTCAACTCTGTCTTTTCCTAAACAGCACTTGTCCTATCCTGTCCCAGTGACCCCATATGTTTAACCTTATATGGTCTGTTATAGTATATTAAAAAACATTTTTATACTACATATTTATAAAAAAAAAAAATAAAAAAAAAAACACTTTTTAAGAACAATGAAGAAGTGAGAATAAAATTTCATGGCAAAAAAAAGAAAAATATGCATCCAAGGTCTGGTTCTGCAAGAAAACTCTGCTTTACTTAACTATGAAATGAAGTCTTAGTTCTTTTTCACTGCAAAACTGTTTGTTTTGGGACCCAAAAAAAAAAAACCAAGATGACTGATTATGCGATATTAAGATATTCACGTATTTGTTTATGGTTAATTTATTTGAGAATATATAAGTATCTAGGTGTTACTTTATTGTATGTCTGGTGCCATGTCTGTTGGTTGTGCTGTTCTTTTTACATCTCTTTGCAGGTGATGAAGCAGACTGAAAATGTTTTATCATTTTCCCTTTCATCTCCTCTTTCTATCATCTTTTGTCCTTTTTTTCTGTTTTACCTCTACTGTTCTTCTTACATTGCAGTGTCCATATAATGTGTAGAACTCCCTGCACAATTATGATAAAGCAATTTATATGCATGAAACAAGCGGAACACTATGGCAATAGCCCTACTGCTCCACTTGTGAAAGTAAAATCTATTTGGCTCTTTTTGGCATCGAGACAATTATTCCTATTGCCACATTGCCAGACTGGACACAATAAACATTTAGCGGTGAATCTTTTAACTGCGTATTTTGCAGGGAAGAAAAATTGTACCTGACAATCATTTGGTTGTAAAATTGTTAGGAATGCAAATTAGCCTAACTCTAATTCTTTTTGCTAAACACCCAAAAACTCATGAGATTAATATCAGCCCAAGAGGTGCAACAAAGTGCATTTTCTTTAAATCTTTACTTCTTCCACAACTTTGTTGTTGCTTTATATGCATAACAAGGATTATTAGAACATTTCCTCTAGTAGGTCATCGTTTTAGACAAATCTGCAAAAAGTTGGCATAACACCTTGACAGTATCACATCAGAGGAGAATGCATTTTTTCTAAGAGAAATAACTTTGACTGAATTATTAAATACTGCAAAGTAATTCTACTGCGTCCAAGTCAACCTGATATATATAGAGAGGAAAATAACAGATTCTGTTGAGTCAGGAGACCAACAACAACCTGTAGAAAAAGCACAACAAGTATCAAGTATTCTACACGGTTAAATATTATCTGTATAATTAAAGGTTTGATCACAATATTAATAATCCAACGAAAAATTCACCTGCAATCTTTTCTGGACTATCTGAGAACAGCAGCTCCACTTTTCCACCATCTGGGAAACGGGAATCTGGAATATTGATAGGAAAAATGAGACAGCTGGACATGTTTCCATTATTCCTTCGCTGGTTTTTTGGCTCCTGTGTTCGTTTAGGTGTGCGTAGAGCCAATAGATTTATCAGTTACAGATTAAAGCCTGTGAGAGCTGAGTGGAGCTGGAACAAAGCAGGTTATAAATACCTTCAGCAACACAGTCAAGGTCTGCCTTGCAGAAAGAGAGGGAGTGTCCAGCTACCATGCCAGTGTGGAACTGGAGGCGCAAAACCACTTGGCGACTCCCTGACTGGCTATCTTTGTCATAACAAACCACCTAAAAATGAGAATGATAAGCTGAATAAGCTGACAGAAGTCATGTTTGCTGTTTAGTGTTAGGTTTCTCAATGGTATGACATAAGAAAAGAAACAAAAACGACTACAATTGGATAAAAAACACACTTCCAAACATTTGTGGACTTACGCTCTTTCTACCACTATCAGTGGCGGGCATAGAAGGGCAGGGGCAGAAAAAAAAAAAAAAAAGAACACATGTAGCACATCACCACCATTGTAGACGGCATTTTAGCATGTGTTTTGGATCCCGAGGGATAACTTAGGCATGCGTTTTGGCTCTTGAGAGGGCACTGTAATGTGTTTTGGCTCCCAAAAGGGCACTTCAGCCAATGTTTTTGCTCCAGAGAGTGTAATTTAAAATGCATTTCGATTCCTGAAGGGAAATTTTAGCATGGATTTTGGCTGAGAAGGTCAATTAATATACATTTCATTTTCCAATAGAGTACCTTAGCGTGCATTTTTGCTCCTTAGAGGGCATTTTAACATGCATTTTACAACAATTTGGCCAAAAGGGGGGCAATTGCTGACTGACAGGTGAAAACATATGTAAAGTCCTTGGCAGAGAACAAACACTCAGACCACTGTGACTTTCTTACCATAATATCCCCTTTGAGTAGTTGGGCCGGCTGAAGCACAATGTAGAGACGATCAGTCTGAACAGCATTGATGTTGCTGAGATGGATGCAAACATATTAATTGTTGTCCTCTGTCTAACAGCACTTACAGTGTGAAAATGATGAGCCTTACTAGACAGGTGATGTGCAAACTGCATGTAGACTTTGGTAGACTCTAAGGAACAGGCAGCACCCTAGGAGAGTAAAATAACATCTTGTAGTTTAAAAGAAAACACTATTTAAAATGTTCAGATTATGTTTTGAGAAAAAAGAAAGATTAACATAGATGTACAACTTCAAAAGTTAGTGGCTTGACAAATTTGTAAGTGATCATCTCTCTCTCTCTCTCTATATATATATATATATATATATATATATATATATATATATATATATATATGTATATATCTATCTATATATATATATATATATATATATATATATATATATATATATATATATATATATATATATATATATATATATATATATATATATATATATATATATACACATATATATGAAATGTTATTCCAATTATTGTTTAACTAAGTAGATATGGAATGCCACTTTCATAGCTACTACTGGTATTCAGTGTTTCTCACTTCTGTTCTTCAAGTACCACCGCACTGCGTGTTTTAGCTGTCTCCTTGCTGCCACACACCTAAGTTAATAAAATCAACTATCTGCAACACTTGATGGCTGCTAAGGAGTCTATGTAATCATTTAAGTTAGGCGTGCTGCAACAGAGGGATGTCTACAACATGCAGAGCAGTGGTACTTGAGGGCCAGGACTAAGAACCACCAACCTAGTTGACTTGAAGCATCGTGTGACAGATGGCTCTTTTTTGTTTCTGAAAAAGGCAGGAGGATTAAATGGAGAAATGGTCAGGAAACTCTATAGACCCCCTTAAAAAAAATGGAGCAGACACTTGTGAGCTGGTGTCTTCTAGCTGCTTACCTCCATCTGGTCTTATTTTGGGGATACCATAAAGAACAACACAGAGCAGAAAAGACGGAGAGGGGTTCATCCTCAGCCCTCCTTTTAACATGCTCCCCACCATCCAAACATACCTGAAGAGACAAAGTGAGCATCTGTTTGGTAACTGGAAAAGATAAACTACTGAATAAAAAAATAAAAAAAACTAATAAAAATCTAGATTGAATTTTTATATGTTTTACTTATATTTCAGTAACCTGGGGATAAATCTGATAATTAAAAATTAAGACTGAAGGTGGGTCATAGTTCCCCTTGATGGTTTGAGTCTCTCACCGTTTCTGGGAGGGAATCATCAGAGCAGAGAGCTTGTCATTGTAGAACTTCCTCATGGCAAAGTGGTCCAAAGAGAGGTCTGCACTGAGAAAAATGCACATGTTCATAAATATGCTGTTATTATCCGGGCTGCAGATGGTTTGAAACAGGGAATTAGCCTGCAGAGGTATCTGCCTAAAATCATATAATCCATAAAATGATTGAACGTCTTTTTAGTTCAGAATCATATAAAAGCTCTAGATTATCTTTAAATAAGCTGCCTACCTAGAATGGATGGTGTCTTTTGGGACTAAATTTGTGCCTTTTCTAGCTCTAAACTTTTCACAAGCCCCAACATGCCTGCAATCACAAGCTCTTGGGTCATTCGCACAGGGACAATGGTCACAATCTGATATTTCCCAACTGTCTACAAGCACACACACAATGAGCATGAGTTTGATTTGAATCCAGCTGAACTTTGCTGCTATCTGAGGATGAATTGAAGCTATGTCCTTGTAATTTCTGTAAAGAAATGAATAACCTCTAAAACCTGCATCCCATCAGATGCCATCTACATCAAAACAGCAGGATCTTTGACTAAGGACCACAGAGCATCAGGTTTGAAGTGTCCTTCTTTTTTGTATCTTCAATTCTAGTTCATTCATTTCCACCCCCTCTTTTCTTTGCAGGGATAAATGAGCCCCCTAAATAATGTCTTTAAGACTTGACGAGCCTCAGAATGAAAGCTTTAAAAATATTCGGACAAAGACTGGGATTTCCAACATAAACAAAAAAATGTAAGTAGTACACATTCAATATTTTTGTACATCTAATTTGTATGGATTTCTTTCAGAATATTATACAACTTAAACCAAAATGTCTGTATCAAATTGAGGTGGAACATTTTTTTTGTTTGTTTTTTGTTTTTTTGTCAAGGTTCTGTAATAACTGTTGTTGATACTTATTTTTCAGGTGTAAATGTCTTGATTTGATTGGGGAAAAAATGTGTTTCAGAAGAAAGGAAGAGATAGAGGAACCCAGTGGTAAAACCTTTTATTAGATTAATGTCTGTGGATCACAGCAGACTTGGTAAATCTGCATTAGGTGCAAAGAACGGCTCTACTACATTATGAGAAATCATTTAGAAACAATTTCCCTTGCTGTTTTACCGGTCCTATAAACCCCAAAATATGCTGACACTATTCCAAATAGTGCTATAAATGCACAGCAATTTCCAGATCACTGAATGCAGTGAGAAGCATCTTCTGCTTACAGACGTGCGTATACCTCACTATGGTCCTCTACACTGCAAACCCAGACACCAAAACAACATCATGCATCCCAAAATTAAATCTCTACATGTCTTCAACAACCAGCCAAGTTCTGACACAATTTTATGTAATGGTGCTGAGTAGAGACAATTGATCAATTTCTCTACACCCATAAGCCTCAGAAAGATAACAAACAGTAGGGTTTTCAAAAGTGGTCCAAAGCAAGCCTCATTTATACATCAGTATATAGATGGCAGGCACTAAGCAAAGTACTGAACAAGGCAGACACAGAATATTTGAATTAAATCACATCAAAAACCTATACAGGGTGAAATGCCAAAGAGAGTGTTTTGTCTAAATCAACTCAAAACTTACAGCAAATGTGCTACACCTTTCTACCTTCAACAAATCTTAAGAATTTTTAGAATAAAAAAAGAATTGAATAGAAAATCCCCTTATTGTCTAATGATGGAAATTCTGGTGTTTTCAGCAGCAAAAAGATTATAGAAATAATTGTCAGACAAATTTGGACCTTAGAAAAAATGTATAAGAATAACATACTAGTGAAGAGTAAAAGATAAACAATAACATACTGTACTGTAAAGAGCTTTAACAATATAAATATGTGCACCTGGAGAATGAATAACCAAATTTACAGCTATGGACTTTTTTACAGTAATGGATTTTTGAAAACAGCAGCAACATCACAGATGTGCAAAATGACAGCAGCATTTTATTAAATTGACTTATGTTGTACAACAAATCTGTTCTTAAACGTGTTACCTGGCGGACATGTTGCTGAAATGAATGTATGACGCCACAAGAACTCCAAGTCGTCCCCTATCCCCCTGTTGAGAACAGATTTAGGCTTAAATAGTAAGTCCCACCATGCAGCACACAGATCAGCTCATTACTGTGAATGGGCAGTGCCCTTATGTTTACCCTGCAGTGTAACACCAGAACGTGCTTTGGATGACCTTGTAGCCAGTTCTCCATTGCTGTGCAAACGTTAAAGATTTGATCCAAACTTGGAGCTAAGAGATCCAGCCAGCCTGTGTTAAAAACCTAACAGGAAAGAAGCAAACAGGAGCATCACATCCAAACAGCCCTGCAGCCGAGATTCTCGTTACTTTTAGACATCATAATTACCGTGTGGGTAATTTTTGTGAGAATGTCATCCTTCTGGGAGAGGTTGATGAGCTGCATTAGAAAAGACAAAATACACTGAGCTGTTGTAGATTTGATAAAATGTGACAGGCTACATTTTTTATTTGTCTTTATTAGGTATTTCATTTTTTTCATTGAAACCAGAGGGAGGGAAACCTATTTTAAACTTGATAAACATAGTAAAGTGAACTGGTATTTATCTTTGCAGATTTTGTGCATGTTTAAATTTTTTTTTAATTAAAATGTCTTAGATCATTGAACACATTTTAATAAAGGGCAGAAATCACTAAATACATGGAAAGCAAATAGAAAACAAATCTGTTTTCAGAAATTTATTTGGTTCTTCTTTGCACAATTTGTTTAAGTCAAACCTGTTGGAGATTTTTGAGCATGTTTGGCCTGTTTAATGTCATTCCACTGCATTTCACATGGATATAATATCAGACATCAGTCAGCTAAGATCTCTCATAGCTGGATTTTTCCATTTAGGTTTTTTTAGGGAGAAAACACTTCATAATTCAATCAACTCACACATGTCATCAAAGTCCTAAAGCAGCGGGACTGTTCTAAAACACAATTTGGATGTTTTATCCCAAAGCATGGAGACACAGGAGGGATAATATGTGTTAATTGTTATACAAACATGTTTAAAAAAAGATTACTTTACCAGCTAGTCCTGGAGCATCGGCTACTGATCAGATGCAGTCGATAAGTATTTGTGTGGTTAAATAATGGTTATCACTATTTGCTGTGGTCATAAATCTTTTAAAAAAAAGGCAATTTTCTGACACTAGCACTTTTTTCCCCTGACTTGTTCTTTATAATGTTTAGAGGAGCATAAAGAGCTGGCTTTAGCTAACCTCTTGCTATCAAGTACGCTATATATGTGATTTCTGGATTTATCAGTATGTATAGGTAACTCATGCAGTAGTTTTGTGGGTTTTTCCAAATCTGTGAACAATTATAACTAACTTAAGGGGGATTGACAGTTAGCACCAGATTGGTTTTGGATAAGTTATTTTCCTCAAATTCTGAAAAGTAACTTTTTTAAGCTTTTTGAATGAATGGTTATCTTTGTCAGGTTTATTTTTTTTTTACTTGGTTATAAACTTTTAAGTTTGGCAAAATCTGTTGGTTAAAAGAATTATCCCTCTTCATTCATATTCTGAATTCAAAGACATTTATCTTTATCTGGATTTGGGAAAAGTTCCAAAGATTTATTTTAGATAAAGAAAAATAAGCGTAGACAGTAAACAGCTTGTATCAAAACAGTATTATCTTACCATGTAGTTGTTTCCATGCTTAGATTCTAGCATAGGGATAATTTTTCTCACATTCTCCAAGTAAAGATCCTCTGGACATGTAGAAGGACAGATGATGCTGATGATCCGTTCTGTGACGTATGTCAGGTCGAATTGTTGTATTTCTTCCATGACAGGTTTTCATTACATTGGCCTCTGCAAAAAAGACAGGATGTGACGCATGCTATTTATACATACAAACATGAGGGGGAACTTGGTAAAACTTTTTGAATATGAGATCTTTCTAAGTTTCTAACACAGCATTTGTTTTAGACCTTTTGCCAAATAAGTTCACTGACAAAATGGGATTTGTGTTAAAGAGGAAATTTCTCATTTTATCAGTCCTAGGATCTCCTTTTGTGGCCATATTGCTAAACAAAGTGAGGTCAAGGCCGACAGAACGCTTAGTCACTGACAACCCCCCCGATTTAAGAAAGTAGATGCGCCAATCACGAGTTTATGAACTCAGCAGATTACAAATTTGGAACAACTGACAAAGACAATAAAATGTGACCTCGTGGCTTCAGAGACACACTTAAATTTCAATAACAAGACATCTTCTTAAGAAGGAATAAATTTTGCGTCATATTTTGTTACATTTGTCCAGTTAAGGTGGTCCGTTATCCTTTCAGCGATTTTTCAGTAATCTTTTTACACCATTAATTTTGAGTTGGTTTAAAGCAACTTCTCTTGTATTTTCTTGTACTTCAAAATGTCAAAGGAAATGTAAAATCACACAAAAGATGTTGACGTGTGATTTGGACAAAAAAGTTAACCTATCTTTGTAAAACAGATTAAAAAATTATGTTTTAAAATAATTAATCAACACACTTATGAGAGTCTTCAAAATTGATTTAAAATAAATTCTATTACCTCAAGGTCTTGCTCATATATCAATAGTAGCTATGGATAGTGTTATCCTTAGGGGTAATTAACCAAAACCTTGGGGATATGGTATAATTTAGATGCTGTTTTGAAGAGCAATATTCTGAAATTCCCTTTGCTAATTATCTTCTCCTTCTCCAAATGCCAGTCAAACTTGCATTCCAGAAGCTGACTTTAACCCTTTCGATTTGTAGATAAAACTGTTAACTTCTTACATGAGTCATTCTGGTGATGTGGCCAAAAAGATTCTTAGACCCATGTCAAGAGTAAGCTTTCACCAGTAAAGCATCAGTGTTCCTGTGCTTATTTAAATTCCAAGTTTCAAGAACTGTTAACCTTATTCTGACATAAAAGCTCCATCATTGACAAACAGGAATCAGGAATTTTCGATCCAGACTTTCATAGGTTATCTCTCATGCAGCCTTTTGGTGAGATTAGAAACTGTTGTAAGGAGTGTGATTTCCTTCCACATTCTTGCGTAAACCACCAACCCTGTGGTATCTGGGTATATGTCAGTATTTGGATCAGGAGGAAAATAAAACTGTTTTTCCGGAGTGATACTGACACACACTTTGTCGGCAAGGAAAACACAAAGAGCAGTGGTTAAACTCTTGTTCACCCAGGCCATGTGACCGCAGAGTAAACAGTGATGCAACCCTCATACCAGCCACACAGACAATAACACCCTACTGGGAAACTCGACAGCAGCTCGAAGAAATAAAAGAGTGTATGAAACTCATTCAGAAATCAGACATTTTGGGAAGATTTTTAAAAATCTGCATATTTTTCGTTACTTATTTTGTTGCCATTTTTGAAACACATCATGTGGGCTGCATCATTTGTGCAAAAGCATGTACACGGGTTTGATTTCATGTTTAGAAACAGGTTTATGATGAAACAACAAATAAGATCCAAAGCCCAAATTAGGGTTGTGATATAATTATTCTCAGAAAATGGAAGAAAAAAAACAAAACAAATAGATACTTCTAAATATATTGAAACATGTAATTAACATATCTCAAGAGATCCACATATAATTCAAAGCAAAGTTATTCTTATCTTTAAATGAAAAGTGTCTCTTCTAGTTTATCTCTCCTAAATTTTAACTTTGTGGGATTCATGATCTTAACCCCTAAATAATGTACATAAACATTAAGCAATCTGTTAAAAAGTTCTGAAAGTGGACAAAAAATAAGCAGTGTTAGTAAATGCAAAATGTCCAAATTAAAAAGATCTTATTGAGAAAGACATAAAATATACAGACAATATATTGATTTTTGAAACTGACTGCAAAGGACCCAAAAGAGATGACAGAAAATGGCATGGATGTTAGCTACTGACCTAAAAACAGTCTCCACAAGTTTCAAAAGCTTGCACTTCACAAAGTATAAGAAAAGAGATTTAAATAGATATTTAAAATGATCTGTATGGAAGAGGATTAGGGCCACTGAAAAAAAAAGTTTAATATGGGAAAAAAACTCAGAATTCTGACTTTTTTTTCTCAGAATTCTGACTTTAATCTCAGAATTCTGACTTTTTTCTCAGAATTCTGACTTTAATCTAAGCATTTCTGACTTTAATTTTAGAATTCTAACTTTTTTCTCAGAATTCTGACTTTTTAATTAGAATTCTGACTTTAATCTCAGAATTTCTGACTTTTTCTCAGAATTTCTGCCTTTCTTCTCAGAATTCTGACTTTTTTCCCAATATTAAATTGAAATAAAATGTAAAAATCAGTTGACTTTTTTTTTCAGTGGCCTTAATCCTCTTCCACAGATCTGCTTACTGCTGAGGTAAACAAAAATGCTAAGTAGTTGCAAAGAGACATGAAACAACCAACATAGAAGTGAAAGTGACGAGCAGATGCTTCAAGGACACTAAAAGCATTGTCATTTCCTAAAAAAATTGAAATAAAACATGACTAAACTATAATTAAAACACAGATGCTTGCAACTAAAAAAAGACGCAGTATGAAAAATAAAAGCTTAAAACTGAGAGAAAAATCAGATCAAAACAGATTCAATCTGAAGACCAAACTATTTGAAATGAACACAAGAAAGATTATAATATTTCAAAGAAAAACTTTAAATAAAATCACCAAATTTGTTCAAAGGAAAGTGGTGACTTTCAACCCATGTTCAAAACTTGTCATCTTAAGTCCTGGGCTTTGACTTTAGTTCTCGTGAAAGTTTGGGTTTTTTATTCCCAGCCTGTTCCCTCACTTCTCATGTCTTAGTTTATCCCTGTTCTCCAGAGAGTTCATGCCAAACCAGCTAACTGGGCAAAGCAAGCAATCTTAATGAGGGACTTCTCTTCGATGATGTATTTCTGGGCTGTTTTTCCAACATTTTTTTTTTTTTACTGCTGTACATCTAAAAATATCAAACTCAGCCTGAGAAACCAAAACAAGAAGTGTGTGTTTCAACCATGCTACACTGAAAAGTCCTTGACTACTAAATTAGCCACGTATAATTACAGTCTCTATTTCCCACTTTTATAGAATGGAATTTCCAAACAGATCACCCACCTTTTTTTATTCTATTAATCCCCAAGTTTCAAAAGTTATCAATTCACAAGTTTTCCAAAGAAAGTAAGTTGCTTGGTTGGACGCAGCGTACTTAAAAAGGTTAGACTGTTACCTACACCTTCTGACCATTTGAAACTGAAAGTATGTACCAAGAACTTCAATGAACAGCACCCTTGCATGACTGCAAACTTAGTGTCTAACTGTATTTTAGGCAATTATTTTTCCTATTCTCTAAACACTTTCAAAAACTCTACTTATATATGTTCAATCTCAAAGTAATCACAATAGCAATATTTACATAGGTTAGATTAGAATCAAGGTTATTTCAAGTAAAGAAGGGATTTCACTCCTTCCAACACAAGCTGCCTTTTAGTGCTGAGCTAAAGATGAAATGGGATCTGAATACCTCAGCAAACACCTCTGTTTGGACTCTATGCTTTAATATGTCAGTAAATTAATCTTCACATTTACAGTAGAATCATTTGTCAGTAAGATCTACCACCTATTATGCTCTCCCTTTAGTCCCATTGACATGCAGTGAAAAGAAAACTTAATGGAACAAAGGGCAGGTCAACATTGGTTCAAACCTTTCTCTAACCTGTCAGGAAGCAACAGAAAAGGGGCTTACCTTAACTGCAGCAAACAAGGTGTTATAGTTACAGCACAGCACTGCAAGATGAGTGAAAGTCAGAGTGAATGGTAATACCGTACAAAAAGTCGAGGTGGAGATTTGACAGTAGGTGGGAGGAGGAAGAAAGGGGGTAGAGTATGATAAAGTATACTATAACAGCTCTGCTTGCACTTTGCCCTCTGTTGGACTGCAGTGTGACAGCAGTTCACTCACGTCTGCAAAAACGCCCATAGAAATCGAGCAAATCCTCTTGGAAAACACAAACAAGAGCTGATTAAACACTTTTATCAGCATGTTGTCTGTGCTGCACCATGATGACATTATAATGTTCTTAAAAATACCCATGGGCTTTGATTAGGAAAACAAGCTAGAACACTAAACAGGTTTATTTATGGTGTTATTACATTTAGCAAAGTGATATTCTAATGAACAGTTTTATGTTGTATTTGAATAAGTTGTAAAAATTTAGAATCTAAAACAAGCAATGATGATTGTTGTTGTTTTTATTATTGTCATTATAATAAAAGAAGAAGCAGAAGATTGTATGTAAATTATTATTGATGAAAAGAAATACTGAGTATGTGTTAACTGCTTCAATAACATATTTCAATCTAATAAAAAGCAAAATGTTGGTTTTAATGTCAAATAATTAAATACATAAAAACATTTTGGTTTATGAATAGGATGGTGAGTTTACATGATTTTCCTGAGAATGTATGGATTACTTCAGACAACATTACTTCAGATAAAACAAGAAAAACTATTACTTGGTAAAGTAATGGAATAAAATATGAAACTAAAATAGTTAAAAACAACAACTAATATAATAATGTTTTATTGAAAATAATTGTTCGAAAACAGTTAAAAAAAATCAAAAATATACATACTAAACATTACTAGCAATATGTATGTAAGCATTGTTTTATAAGAATTGATAATAACTGTAGCAATGTAAAAAAAAAATTGAAAGAGAAAAAATAACATAAAAAGAAAAAAAATACTTTTCTTTAGTTTTGTCAGTTTTTAAAGGCAATTCTGGTAACGACGATAATTCAACATTTATTCCACCAGATGGCGCTAAAGTGCATTTTATAAATACAACCTGTCAAGATAAACATGCGTTTGAATTAACGAGTCTGCGGAAACGATTACCTTGAAATATTTTTTTTTTTTTTTTTTTTTTTTTTTTTTTTTTTTTTTCTTCACAGACTTATGAACATTAATCGTATTAAATAAAGAAAACAAGCCGCTGTAACTCCAAACTACTTTGCCTTTACTGTCTTATTACGGCACGTAGAAGTCATTTGTACTACAGAAGCGAACATAAAATTGGTTTTACAAGCTTAGATTAAGAAAAATGTACATACTTTTATAACAGCAAGTATTATTTCTTACTGTTATTTTTAATCAGATTTTTATTTACAGGCGAATAAGTATATACTAATTTAAAAACGTAACATTGGTTGATCTTTATATGGTGTTGTAAAACAGCAGTGTAAAAACGATTTTTTTTTTAATTATGTATTTATTGAAAACACCAGCTGGAGAACTGGGTACTTTCATCGGACTATAACAAATAAACCGAGGGACTTTCCTTAGTTCATGGTCAGGTCACGTGTTTAGAACTGAAAATCCCGAGTCCTGTGGTAGTACGTGAATGCTTCATAATTCATATCCAATGAGACCCCGCCCTGTCCACACTCAACGTCTGACCGTCCCTCTCCCCGGATTCTTGTCATCGTTGCCCCGTCTCGCCTTGCTGATGTCAGGCGGATAGATACCAGTTTTTCTTTTATGCACCAGTCCGTTAGCTCCAACTGGAGAGCTAACGGCCGCCACATGAAATGGGATGATGTAGCTGGATAACCATGGGACAACTACGCAGTACTTTAGCATGCTAAGCTAACGCGAAGCTAGTAAGTAGACCGAGTCAGAGAGTCGAAGCTAACCCAGACTAGTGTTCACCTGCGGGCTGTATGACTGCCACTGCCGTGGTTAGCTAACAGGATGGAAAATGGGAAGGAAAACGGCTCCGGGGCGCTTTCAGTTTCATCAGCGCCACAGGGGACAGTAGACTCTACCGGGGACTTGATGAAGCAAAGCGGATTATCCTCGCTCCCCCATGGAAAGAGACCCTCCATCGCGGAGGATGAGGGTGGGGGCGCAGAGGCGAAACTCTTCGGGAAGGGACTCGCAGCCACCTCTCTTCTTCAGATTGCCATCAGAAACGGGATTTATCAGAACCAAGTTGCCAACGCCACGGGGAAAAACGGCAGCAATCCCTCCGTGAAAGCCGCCAACATGTACGGTTTGACGTCGGCCAACAGCAACACGTCGGTAAACTCGCTGCTGAACAGGCGGCGGCACAGACACAAGAGGAATCTGTCTCTGGGGGCTCCGCCTGGGGCGTCCTCTGCTGAGGCTGCCAGCCCAGCTCCATCAACCTCGCCCCTGAGCACCCTAAGCCTGGACAGAAAGACCTTCCTCCGGCAGAAGCAGTCAAAGCGGCTCCAGGCCACTGACAAGTCATGGGTTAGATCCGACCTCCAAAGAGGTTGTATTCACGTCCACGACTGGCTCACACCCTCCATTCCGCGCCCAGTCCTCTGCAGCGTGGACACCACAGCCAGAGAGGTTGCCACTAAACTAGAGGGAAGCAAATCTGGGGCTGTGCTGAGAATCAATTGCAAACCTGCTGCTGAATCTGACATGAATGGACTCTGTAAAGACAGCAATGGACACACTGATACCCTGGATGGGAAACATTCTAAATTGGAGGAAAACTCTAAGATTTGTCCTGAAACTAAGATGCCTTCTAACTTATTTCTTGATGAAAAAACTGGAAGTAACTCTTCCTCTGAGATCTGTTTGAATGACATCGGCCTTGATTTGAGCCAGAGCGCCGCAGACTGTTTTGGAGCATATTCAGGCTCCGATATGGAGAGCAGCACCTGTGAGGACTTCAGCCCAGGAGGACCCAGGAGCACAGAGCACCGAGACTCCCTCAGTGAAAGCCTGGGTTTGGGCAACGACTCCTCGGTGCTCAGTCCCACCTGCGACAGTGCTACAGAGGGACCCGACTCGTTTGAGAGCTCCTCGGATGAACTAGAACTCACCTCTTCCCCAACACACTCCACTGACAACTCTACAGCAGACCAGCCGCCATCAGAAGCCCATGACAAAGACCACACCCAAACAGCCATCGGTGATACTACAAATACCAAAGCTCCTTCCAGATACCCCAGCAGCTCTCTGACCCGGCCCCTCACCAGCCAGCCATCTATCCAGCCTGACCAGCAGGTCCCCGGAGGCGGTGGAGAATGGCCTGAGCATCTTAATACAAGTCCAACCCCAGCCCTCTTCATCCAGCTGCATGGGGGAGTGGTGCGGCGGCTGGCGGATGATGAACGGCCTCTGCAGATCCTCAACCAGTACCTGACTAATCTGGGGTTCGAGGATGAGTGGAGGGTGCAGGAGGAGGGGATGAATCCAGAAATTGGCTGCCTTATTCGCTTCTATTTTGGTAAGCAACCCGTCGTTAGTATAAATTAGATTGATTAACCTCTGTCGTCTTAAATTAGAAGTCATGTCAAGCGGTAAGAAACCACAGGCCCCTTCAGCAGTGCTTGATTTGTTTCCACTCATTGTTTATCCGTTCTGGATGCTCTCTGAGTGCTCTCAGTGTTTGGTCTCTGGGATGAGTGTATACAATTGTCCTGCCTGCACAATACCCAGTGTTGTGCCTTTAAAGCAGCAGCAGCCCCTCTGCCTGCTGCCTAGTAAGATGACACACCAGAAAGTAAAAGGTGTGCTCCCTCAGCACATTGAGGAGTGATGCTCAGTCTGTACACATCAAGCTTCTCTTCTTAACCCCCCCTTTCTCTTGTTTTTGTTATTGGTAATGAACCTGTTTTGCAGACAATCTGGGTAAGGAGTCGGGAGGGGGAAAAAATATGCCTGATCTCCTTTTGGGATTAACACAACTGGATATTGTTTTTTTGACCTTGTTTTTTACACCATCAACAAAGACCACAGAGATTAAGCATCAGGACCTGATGGCTTGGCTTAGATGTCATATTTTCCACATAGTGGTTTTGAAATTAACAAAGCAGATTATACAGACTTCCTCTCAGAAAATCCTCAAAAGGCTTTCTCTTCATTTTTTTTGTTAATGTAGCCACCCACACAGTAAATAAAAATACAGTTTCATGATTTTTAACATCGTTATTAAAATTAACTTATTTGTTATTACTTGAAATTAGGCAAAAGTAATTTCTTTACTATTGGGAAAAAAAGGCATTTCAATGAGCTGAAATCTTGCCTGCTTAAAGCAGCTCTGTGTAACTTATCCAACAGCAAGCTTTTAGCTAGCAATGCATACGGACGTACATTTAACACCCTTTACCAGAAATATTAGAAATGTTACACCCTGTTTTTGGGATGTACAGCTTTGGTACAATTAATTTCCCCTGGAAACTGCTCAAATGTTCCAAATTTAACAAGCAGCAGCAGCAGAAGCGAGCAGAAGTTTTGCTGCCCGATGCGCCACATAAACCAATTAGAGAAGCTGATCAGGGAGACAGACACAGCACTTCTTATGCAGACCGCTATGATAACTTCTCTGAAACTGTTTATTAACGCCTAAATTAACTTAAAATGTTAAAACCTACCAGTAAAATATATTTGATTGTATTATTCTGGTTCCTGCAGTTTGTAGCAAATACTTGAAATACGCATCTACTTCCAGACGCCAAGAACAGTAGGGGGGAAAAAACTCCAAGAGGCGACCGGGCCTGAGGTAGCTGCTGCTGCCGGGGAATTCCAGTGACAGTGCACCAACAGTATGTGGGGGTCTGTGCACATCCGACAGCAAAATATATTATAATAATATTATAAGGCAGTATCGTAATCTTGATGAACTGACTGCACAGATGATGACTTGAGTTGGACTTTTTTTCATAAAAATATATTAAAACTACTTTTTACCCACTGATCACAGAAAATATAGCAAAGCCAATCTCTGCCATTGAACACAGAAGCAGCATTAGACACATCTGTACACACTTTATTTGCTTGTACACTGACTTTTTTCTGTACGAGCTTCAAAAATGAAGCAGCAGATGCATTTTTGCTGCTCAAATCATGGTGTGGACATAGCATTACTTTCTGATTGTTTGAATTAACCTATGAAACATAATATTGTACCTAAAAAGGATCTCATGTCTTCCTTATGGAATTTCCACCTCTAGTCAAGCACACATGCTTCCCATAATTAGAACAAAAGTTGTGTTGTAAGAAAGGCAAAAAGTTAACTGCATTCCACCTCAAAATGCAGGAAACAGCATCTCAGTCAATTATTACTAAAACAGAGAACAACTGTCAGCAACAACAACTGGTATGAGAACGACTGACTAATGTAATATTAACCAATGGGAGTGCCATCAGCATGCCGGTATCTGATATTTTAGATGCTGGGCAATATAATCCAATATTAGTTTTTTGGCCAATATGGGATCAGGACACCTTTAGCATCAGCCTTATAAATGCTGTATCAGTAGGTCTTTACACTGTGTTGGTTTGAATTTTGTTAGTGTTTTGTCTATGGTGCTTCAGTCCTCCACTGCTGTTTACAACTAGAAATAAACGCAAAAAAATATTAAGCTAAAAAGGTGATTAAAAGCTGATTTTCTTTTTTTTTTTTTATACATTTAAATAAGCTAATTCTGCAATGTCTTATTTTATGTTTCCTTTTCTTTGAAATATGTAAGACGGCAGAAAGCAGGAATGCACCTCTAGCTTTGGCTGCTTGATGTTAAGAAATCTCGTGATGGCTATAAAATGGGTAAACATTGCAATGAGAATGTTAGTCAAGTTATCTGCATATTTTCTTCTCTTATTCTAATGTACTTCCATTAATCTGTGACCTTTTAGCTTTTTTGGCAATGTCCTTTATATCCATTGGGAACGTCTGCTGCTGTGAGACTCTGCAGCTAGATCAAATAGCTCATTAGTATGAAAATACATAACTAACAGATATTGCACTCTAAACAGTAATTTGCAATACAGCTATTGCACACATTCTAATTGTGATTAATTCCTCAAAGTGCTTCTGTCCTTGCCCATTTCAAAGCACTAAATCTAAAGGAAACAACCAGGAAACTTCAATTCATTTTATTTTTTACAACACATGTCATCTCAAGGCACTTTACAGTTCACCAGATCATACAGTCAAATTGATTAAAAGTTTGACTCGAAGGCAATCCCTCACACTAAGCATGCTTGTAGCGACAGTGGAGAGGAAAACCTCCCTTTTAACAGGAATAAACTTCCAGCAGAACCAGACTCGGTGTGAGCGGCCATCTGCTGAGTAGATGTAGACAGAAATAGAGAGACAAAAGGCGGCCCCATCCAGGAAACACACAGCCAGGCAAACAAGCTCCGAGTCAGCTCCCATGTCGGAGGATGTAGAGAGCACATCCAGTTAGTCACAGTCAGAGAAACAGGACTAACTGAAAACATTCCGATCTCCAACATCTATAAACAAAAATGTTGATGGTAGCAGCACAGCTGATATTTCTCTCCAGGATGGAGTCACAGCCAAACAGGAACAGACCAGATGAAGCTACTATGATTAAAAGCAGAGAGAGCATAACGGTAGAGATTGAACTAACAGATTCTGCAGAGTGGGAGAATAGAGATAGAATGATGAAATGGGGGTCCCTATGTCCTCCGGCAGTCTAAGCCTATAGCAGCATAACTATAGAGATAGCTCAGGATAACGTGAGTCACTCTAACTATAAGCTTTATCAAAGGAAAGTTATGAACTAAATAACTTTCCTCATGAACTAAAACTGGTAGTTGGTTCCACAGGAGAGGAGCCTGATAACTAAAAGATCTGCCTCGCATTCTACTTTTAGAAATTCTAGGAACCACTAGGAAACCTGCAGATTGAGAGTGAAGTGCTCTGTTAGGAACATAAGGAACAATCAGATCTCTGATATAAGATGGAGCTTGGCCATTTAAGGCTTTATATGTGAGAAGGAGGATTTTAAATTCAATTCTTGATTTAACAGGAAGCCAATGATGAAAAGCTAGGATAGCAGAGATAGGATCTCTCTTTTTAATTTCATCAGAGTTACAATAGTCCAGCCGTGAAGTAACAAACGCATTGACTAGTTGCTCAGCATCATCCCTGGACAGGAGATTTCTAATTTTTGCAATATTCCACAGATGAAAGAAGGAAATTCTAGAAACCTTGCCTTTTTTCTGTTGTGGTCACACCAGGGGTGTGCCCCAATATAAGACAAAAAATGAATGTTATGAAAGAGAACCTTCCTTTTTTTATATGGGGAATTCAAAATGCATTTAGTTGCCCCTAAGTGCTCTTTGTTGTTGAAACACCTTCTGTGTTTCTGCTGTCACCCTCGAGTTTTGCTCTTGGTGGCAGCCAGCCATGTAGACAATGCAGATGTAGCTCGGATAGGTTGATTTATGTGAATGACATGAGAAGCAGTCATGAGACGCAATGAGGTGACAACCGTGAATCACTGACATCCACTCCAGTATCATGAGTGATTTATGTCCCTTCTTGTTCTTCCTCTGAGTGACTCAATGGGATGTTTTTTAGGAGTTTGGAAGTAAAATTCCTTGCAAGATTATAAGAACTTCTACACAGTTAATGTATCAGTGTTAAAATAGTACTTTAAGAGCACAATGTGCCCCCCCTGGAATTAGTGTGGGACCGAATGTACTTTTAAAGTGTTACTTTAAAACTGAAACGTTTACTGTGTAAATGTCGGGGGTTTGTGGTTCGTCTTGTTCTGACTAAGGGATTTTGACACCGCATGCCAGCAAAGCGCATGCTGCCACGTGCACACATCTTTCTGTTGTACTGACTGGCAGTGTGCTGACAGAAAGAAAGTGACCTAGGGGGAACTCGGATTTCACCTCCTCAGTGTTACGGATCTGTCAGACAGCCGGAGGTGAAGGCTCCTCCTCCATTCAGAGGTCGGAGCTTTAACTCACAAGGTTAAAAACTCAGATTCCTAGTTGGGTTGGAGCTCATAGTTTGATTGTAATCAGAGGCAGAGTTGTGGTGCTGCTAATGCTGTCACAGAAGTATGAGTGGCCGCTTAATAAGAGGCAGGATGTCCTCTAAACGGTGAAATAGAAGGAAGGAAAGGGCATGTATAATAACAAAACACATGTGTACACCGCCTAGGGAAGGGTGGATCCACACATCATTTGTTTCACAGTATTGTTCATATCGAAACAGGAAGATAGCAGACTGCTTCTGTAAATCAAAATAGAAAAAAGTTTTATTTATCTGGCTATTTAAGCTTAAATCAGTTTAATTTTTATAAGTATGAGCTGCAGATGAGGTTTTTGTACATCTTGATTCCTCTTCAAAACCAATAGCTATCAGCTAGTGAAATGTTGGATCTGTGGAGATCATAAAGTAACCTTTTCAGGATCTGAGGGTCCTGAATAGATTACTGAAAAAAATAAACTTTAATTAGAGTATTGAAATAAGATGGGTTAGGTTAAACGAGGATTTAAATGGGAAGGTGTCTTTCAAAGAAATCTTAAATCTACCATTTTTATTCTGGGGATATTATTTTATTTTTTTTGGAATCATTTACGAGGAATGAAATTGTTTGATATTTATGTTAGTCTTCCCAAATTGGCAATGTAGAGGGCCAAACCAGACAGAGATGGTTTTTTTGGGGGGATCAATATGTTTTTTGGACTTGTAAACTAATTAAAAGTACCTAACTGTGTACCATCATAAATATCCCCTGCGGATGTATGAAACATTCCTACTTTGATGTAAAGTTTTCTTTCATTTCCCTCAGTAAATGCAGAAGCCATGCTGACTTCTACAAATCACTTGTATTCAATCAAAATGGTTCCCAATATTTAAAAAAAAAAGTATTTTGGTAAATTTGGTAAAGTCCTAAAATATTGAGGTTATTTATTATTAATAGTTCTTTTAAATGTGTGCATCTTTTCCATTTTTTAATGATTATTTTGGGATCCCATAAGGTTAGTCTGTTGTTCCTCCAAAACCAGCATATTTTATATCAAACAATTTAAAGCATTCTTAAAGAACTTTCAGTTTTGGTTGAGTTTGGCTTCTCCCAGTGAAAAAAGGTGTATTGTTTTGCCCAAAGGAAGAAGGCATTTCCCATGAGGAACAGCGCACAGAGTGGTCAAAGTCTGATCTTCCAGTCGCCTGCAGTTGGACAGAACTACATTTCTGTTTCAAGTGGTTATGTGAAACATGAATATAGATCAGATATTGAATGTAATTGTGGAGTAACAATGTCATTTGACTATGTTGAAAATAAGATACGTTTAACTTTGGTTTTGTATCGTATTCCTTCAGTGCTGTAGATATTAACGCATTAAGTTGGTGAATTAGGTTTATCAAAAAGTAAGCTGTAGAACTAAAAGAGTTAAATGACAGAGTTTTCAAGAAAGGGGTAAAAAACACATTTTAAAAAGACATATAGTCATTTTTTACAGGAAAATATCTTTAAAATAGCCTATGTATTTCTGTTCCCGTGCTGTTCAAGCGCATCCTTGTTAAATGGGTCTGACCCAGCAAACAATCGAAGGGTTATATTCAAGATGGATTTTGTGGATACTCAAAAGCGACCAGCGTCCAGCTCAAGTCAAAAACCAACAGCATCCCCACATACGGTGTGAAAACTACAAAAAAAGAAATATTATTATGTATGGGTGTAAGCCACAGTAATGAGCAGAAGAATGCTGCGGTTCTTTGTTTTTACCGCAGGTGACAGAATCTGTAGAAAAGCCTTAATGCCTCTTTATAGATAGACACTTCTTTTAACAATTAGGGGTTTCTAAAGTGTTTCTCATAATCTTTGCGTTTATCACTCCACCTGAAACAAGGATAAAGTGACATGTTAATCTCACTGTATCTATGCCAGGCCTATGTGTGGTGCTGGAGCTGCATTCCATTTCTATGTTTGTTTGCTTTTGGGAATAAAAAAAATATTAACAGAACAATTTCTTTATGATATAAACTTGTGTTAAGAGAAGCTTCTGCTTTCTGGCTCAGCAACCCAAAATTCTCCCTTTTTTAGGTGTTTTTCACTAAAGAAAAAGAAGTGCAGCTCTTTGAAAAGGCTCCTGATAGTGCTGCCCTGCTCCCCCGCAGAGTCAGGGGTAAGGTTGGTGTCTGGGTCGCTGCTAGAGCAGGCAGGAGAATTGAGGTTCTTGTGTTGTAAGAAGTTGCGTAACAAGCTAATCTGATTTCAGACCTCTTTGTGGTTCAGGCCCTTCATGGGTCTCACTTTCTCTTGTTCCCTGTTGGATTTGATTTGGCAGTTTTAGTAGAGCGTATACAGTGGCTGTGAATGCAGAGAAATTTGAACACACCGGGCAAAATGGACTGCAGGAAGTCGTGCCAGCCTGTAAACCCTCCTGTCGTTTTTTGTGTGTGTGTATTTTTTTAAACCTTTTAAAAACAACCAATCCATCCAGAAAGACTGCTCTCTATTAAAGCCATGTAGCCCATTGAGCTTTAGCGCTCTTGCATAAGAGTTTTCCCTTTTTTTTTTTTTAAAGGGACACACGGAGGGAGTTAATCCAAAGTAACCCAAATATCTAAAAACAACAGTAACAGAAGAAGAAAAAAGCTGTCGCCAGCTGAACAAGTCTGATCATTAATGATCTTCAGTGTCATTTAACCCCCCTGTCTCTGTTTCCCAACAGGTAAGCCTCGCAGCGTGGGGGGTTCTGAACGCCTGCAGCTCTCTGGGGTGTTCAACGTGCGGAAAGGGAAGCTGGCCCTGCCGGTGAACCGCTGGTCAAAGCGTCAGGTCACACTGAGTGGAACCTGTCTTATTGTTTCCTCTGTGAAACACGCCCACACAGGGAAGATGCACATCCTGCCTCTCATTGGTGGAAAGGTAGGATGTGTGCTGCTGGTTTTAATCATATCAGGCCTCCACTACAGTAGGGTGGCTGTTGTTTGAGAATATATAATTTTTTTTCCTCTTTTTTTTTGTGGTTTGGAAACTTTTCCCCTATGTCCTGAGCTTTTGAGTACTCACTGAGATTCACTTAGGTTTTTTATGTCTTTTTATTTTAGTTTGAAATAAAGCCTCACCACTAAAATAACATATTTTATAATAACATAATTAACCTATTTTGTATGTTAAGATTTTCCTGTAGTCTCTCAAATGATTCGTAAGTGATTGTCCCCCATAGTTTCTTAAGGTCCTGTGTTGTGTTTCTTTTATTTAAACCAACTTGGTTTAGAAGAAGGGGGTTAGTTGTAGTAGACGCTGGGAACTGAGGTAATCCTTTGTTGCAGGTGGAAGAGGTGAAGAGGCACAGCCACTGTTTGGCCTTTAGCTCTGCCGGTCCCCAGAGTCAGATCTACTATGTCAGCTATGACTCCTATGCTGAGCACCTGCGCTGGCACAAGATGGCCTCAAAGGTAGGAACTCCAGATATTTGAAAGGTTTAATCTTTGGGAAAAGCTGCTCTCTTATTCTTAAGGGATCACCATAAATCAGCAGTTATCTGATCCTGTGTTATAAAAAGCTCCTGTATGTGATCTCCTGTGTAAACTGCATTCATGTGTCCTGCATGCGCAGTAGAGGACGCAGCGAGTTCAAAGGAAGCATGCTCTGTGTTTACGAAAGTAAATATGGATGGTTGTATTGTAGAACATCTAGCGATCTTTCCTAACCTTAAAAACTCAATCTTTCCAAGATGGTTAAACATACTACTGCTCTCGGCATTATCGTCCACCATTGTTGTGGTTTTTCTTGCCACTTCTGCGTAGCAAGAAGCAGAAGAGTGACCATTGTTGGGTATTAATGAAATTTGGGTTGGATGGATGCGAACTGTCTGTTCAGACTGTCATGAAAGGATTGAATTCATATCAGATTCATGACCACATAGCCAAGCAGCCTGGGTCGCATTGGAAATAATTGGATCTGTGTTGTTCTCAGACTGTTATGAAAAGATCAGATACAGGTCGCATATGCAGAAAAAAAATCAGAATTTGGGTCACTTCAGGCTGCAGTGTGAATGTAGCCTTAGTCATGTAGTACGACACTGAATACTGAAAACGAAAAGCAACAAGATTTAAGCGTTTTTTTTTTTTATGTTTCTGTTATTTCAAAGATTTTTTTTTTTTTTTTTTTTCAGGAAACCAGCATCTTATTATCTTAAATTAGCTCTTTGATGGAGCACTGTAATGTGTCATAGGGAATCTAGACCCAGATTCTAACAATTTATTCAACAAACGGTTAAGAATGTTTTTATACAGACATGCCCTTTAAGTCTTGTTGTTCTTTCCGTCTCTCCTCAGATCGCCTCCCAGAGGGTGAACTCTGTGGACCTGTCATGCTGCAGCCTGGAGGAGCTGCCCACTCAGCTCTTTTACAGCCAGGACCTTACACACCTCAACCTCAAGAACAACTTCATGTCTCTACAAAAAGGCATCCCTGCACTCACCAGGTGAGACTTGCAGTCTGCTCTAGCGTCACACTCCTGGCCACATGCGATTCCATCTGATGTGTGTGGATGCCTTGGTTATGAATGAGTTTAAAAGAGTCGCATTAGAGATGACAGATTTGACGTCATGTGACCTCAGTAGTCCGGGGGTCTCTCTTTTGTATTAAGCTCAACATCCTGAATTGGTTGTGGCAGCTGCACTGTCCTCTTAGCCTTAGGAATCTCTTCCTTTGTTTCATCTATTGCCCTCTAAACCTGAAACCACAAGCTTTAAAAGACACATTTTTTTTCCCCATATAAATTTGGAAATTATTCTTGGGGAAATAACGCAGAATTTTTCTATCTTAAAGACAGATTTGGATTCAGCACTCCTGGAAAATCTCCCCCTTTAAACCACAGTTGGAATATTTTTTTGGTCAGGCTAGAAACCAAAACTTTAAAGAACTGTCAGTCCGCCTCCAGCTTGTTCTGCACAATACAGAACACGCTGAAGGCAGTATGTTGTTTGGATTCGATCAAAGATGTTCTTCTTTAGATGAGCTTTGGGGCTCATCTTACATTTTGTGTACACAGCTGCTGAGTTTTTTTTCCTTGGGAGGGGGGGGTACTGCTAGTTTGCAATAAAAACAGCTCGACTGAAGACATTTTTTTCAGGTCCAAACTCCCCATGTGCCTCCGATGTTTTCACCCACAAGAAACTTGCTACAGTGACGCCATTGACAGCAAATTAATCAAAGCCATTATCAGACTGAAGGAAAAACTGTGTTATCACCACATATTTCCAACTTTGTGTTCAGTTGAAACCTCTTGATTTTGAGTTTATGTTGAATGAAAATGACGCTGAAGGCTGACATTTACCCGATGGAAATTCACATGCATGCACCACCATTGTTTCTGGATAAACACCCGCTTCCCGGGAAGGGTTTCCCGCAGGGTTTTCTCTGTCCTATGGATTGCCAGTAACTTTCCTTTCTGAAGGGCTTTCACTTCCTTTAAACTCGACTAGTTTAGCATTTAAAACCATTTGTAACTTATATAGTTTTATTCAGATTTCTTTTACTTTTGAAACAGTGAGGTTAAAAATACATTACATAATGAGCTGTGCCATTTTCCTTTATAGAAGTGATTTTGTGTAACTAAGAATGCGTTTTTTTTTTTGTTTTTGTTTTTTTTGCCATTGCTTAAATTAGACTGTGAGAGTCTGATCCTAGCAATGATGATTATCTGTTTTTCTCTGACTGTTCCCCTGTGTCTCTCTCCATCTTTAATTTTCCGGTCATCCATTTTTCTCTCTAGGTTCTGTAAACTGAGAAGCCTTAATCTGTCCAATAATGCCCTGTCTGAGTTTCCTCTGGCGCTGTGTGACATCCCCTCGCTCACAGAGCTCAACCTGTCTGGAAACCGTCTCTCCTGTCTGCCTGCAGAAGTAGGAACCATGCACAAGTAAGTGAGAACCTAAGGGCCACAGTGAGCATTAAAACGCTGTTTCATCCGCACAGTTTTTCTCACTGAGCTCTGCGCTGCTGACAGAGACGTTGATGCTAAAGCATCGGTCCAGAATAATCCCTCTGTGTATTAGATGAACATTTGGCTGAGAACCAAACATGTGTCCTGTCAGTGCAGAGATTTCAGCTACAATGCAGAGTCATGCTGATGCTGTCACTGCAGGGAGGAATTAAAGCTGAAGGATCTCCAAGGTCTGTCAATTGTCAGACATTGTAGACATTGGGCTGCTCAGTGGCGCAGTGGGTAGCACTGCTGCCGTACAGCAAGAAGGTCCGGGGTCTTTCTTACTTCGGCTTCCCCCCACAGTCCAAAAACATGACTGTTAGGTTAATTGGTTTCTCTAAATTCTCCTTGGGTGTGTATGAATGGTTGTTTGTCCTTTTTGTCTCTGTGTTGCACTGCGATGGATGTACCCTGCCTCTCGCCCATAGACAGCTGGAGATAGGCAGGCACGGCAAATTTATTTGTATAGCACAATTCAGTACAAAGACAGTGCAAAGTGCTTTACATGATTAAAATATAGGAAAATAAAACAGAATCAACCCCGCTTTGGATAAGCGTGACAGAAAATGGATCGATGGATCTCCAAGGACTGTCAATTGTCAGACATTTTAGATATTCACAGAAGGGTTAAATATTTCTACACACTCAAAGGATTGGACCACAAAAGCATTATGGCTGGATGTGGAACTTGTCTTATTGAAAATATTTATAAAGTATGTCACAGTTTAAAATAAGTTCAGTTATGACTATTAAAGAAATCCTTACCATGCACTCTGTGCATATTTTTGCACAGAAACACAACATAAGTCAGACATCTCCTTACACCAGACATGTTAAAGCACTGAAACCTAAGTAACTAAAGTATGAGGACCTTTAGCAATTCACTGAGAGATTGACTAATCAATTGGAATCTATGAATTACATGCAGGACTGGCTTTCCTCCATTATCAGCCAGTCACCACAAAAAACAGAACTTTTGTCCCATCAGGGAATTCTCTACTTAAGGAAGACATAAAAGCACTCCAAGGTGTTGAGTGAACACGATGCTGTTGGCTATTTTCGATAAATCTGTGTAAGCAGAGAAGGAGCAAGAAGCCGGAATAAAGCCTTTCTTCTGCCAAGTCCAGTCAGCTATTCCTTCAAGCTACGACTTAAGCAGTGAGGATGAACTAAGCAGATGACAGAAACCTGAATATATTATGGCAGAGTTGCTCTTTTTTTGGTCCTTTAGGGTTTCTGGTGTCCAGTTATACCCATCATCCATATCTGTCATCAAGAAATATTGGAAGCCATTTTGTATTCTCACAGTTGATGAGTCTACTAATGCTTCTGCTCCCTCCAAGAAATAATCACAAATCAATTAAAAGTTTCTGTGCAAATTCAGTAAATTATTTTAAAAAGTTAATGGTAGCTATTAAGTTGGACATCAGTGTGGTTTTATTTTGAATCGATTTATTAGGGAAATATCAAATACTGTGCATCTCTGCTTTATTTTGAGGGGTGCAGAGAAGAGGGAAAAGGGAACTGTAATCTGCCTTGTAAGGGACTATTTTCTAATCCTCTTTGGTAGGATTTTATTTGTACCGAAAGCTGTGTTCCACAACCTAGAAGATTTGACTGTGTTTTAATGTTCCTGTGAAGCAGAAAGAGACTGCTTTCTAACCTGACCCAGTTTTGGATAGAATCCGTGGTTTACGTAAAAAAAAAAAAAGTTTCCAAGCTTGTTTAATTCATGTAAAAACTAAAAGGCAGAATCTATGCAGACTCAGCACTGCTTATAAATCAGCTGACAAATGACCTCCTTTTTAGTTCTGACTACAGTTACAGTCTGACTAATTGTTTCCATCATCATGATTCATGGTTAACCAACATGTTCTGTCACTCTTAGTTGTTCTAAGCCTGTGCATGTGTTTATGATCTGTGATTGTGTGGATGTGAGACTACAGTGTTTACTTTTTTTTACTCTCTCCTTCTCCGTCCAGCTTGCAGAATCTCCTCTTGGATGGAAACAGTTTAAGTTTGCTGCCTTCAGAGCTGGGCTCTCTGGAGGGCCTGACCTTCCTCAGCTTGTCCTTCAACTATTTCAGCTGTGTCCCTCCCGTCCTGGAGAAGCTCAGAGGCATGGAAAAACTCTGTCTAGCAGGAAATCGGCTCTCTTTCCTGGATATGGGTGGGCTGCAGTGGCTTCCTGCTCGATACATAGATGTCAGGTAAGAAATGGTGCATTGACTGAAACGCTTTTTGAAAGGTGAGCTTGCTTATTTAAATTGAAATCAATTAAACCAAGTGAAACACTGGATTTCTCTGCAATGTTTGTAATTCAGGCTGAACCGGCTTCACAAAGTGGCCGTGGCTGATTCAGAGCTGCTGCTTCACATCATCCAGCTGGATGTGAGAGATGCTGGCCTCCAGGAGCTTGACGTCATCTGTTTGGGAAAGCTGGAGCTGCTCCGCTGTGACAGAAACTCCCTCTCCTTCCTCAGAGTCAGCGGCCACACCCTAAAAAGCTTGCATGCCAGTCATAATGGTAGCAACATTTAAATTATGGTGAGGTGTGAAACCGATGACGCTGGATTCATGGCATTTACCGGGATGCTGTGCTTGTTCTTCCAGAGTTAATGCAGCTGGAAGTGCAGCCTGCACCAGAAAATCTGACAGTTCTGGACCTCTGCAGGTAAGAAAAAAAGGCTTTCCTTCTCACAGTGTTTAAGAGCTGATTGCTGACTGGGTCTGTTTTCTTAAAGGAACAAGCTGAGATGTGTCCCAGACTGGTTGTGTGAGAGTAGAAGACTGGAGGTGTTGGACATTAACCACAACTGTGTCACAGAGCTCCCTGTATGGTGAGCAGCACTGAAATACACGCCTCACACAACCGATACGCTCACACCATTCAGGTTACTGAATAAAGGAGAGGACATGAGGGAGAGCTGCCTAATGAACCCGTTATGGCGAAATGGTTGGGTTAAAGATTTCTAAAACCAGATTGGTTCCTGGAAAACTTTCAAGAAAACCTAAAAAATAACAAATAATTTGCAGCAATTGGAGTGATCTCTAAACCACACAGGGTCAAACTCTACATTTCGGTCCTAATGGGAATATAGGGACCCCACAAATGTTTGGTTTAATCATCTTTTAGTTAGAATGTGCACATTTACCACACTTTGTAGCAAAAAAAAAAACATGTCTGGCTGGATATTTATCGAGTCTCCTAGCATGGAGACTGGATAAATCTTTTACAGTAGGCATGACCTGCAAACTGTTTCACTAGTATTGATGTGTATTTGGAATCACTGTTCAAGTTTTAACCAACTAGCTATTGATCCGAGGCTTGATTAAATTATTTTGAGCTTTCTCTACAACACATCAGGCTGATTGACGTGGCAGCTGCATAGATGTAGTTCAATCCTATCCGTTGTTTTTCATTATTAACTTTGATTGTTGCTGGATTGTTTCTAAACTAGGGCTGCAGCTATTGATCACCTCTGCCAAGGAGGTTAGGTTTTTAGGAGAGTTTGTGTGGTTTTCTGTTTGCCTATGGCAGGATAACTTGAAAATTCATGGCAAGATTTTAATGAAAGACTATTCAGAAGTGTCCCTCATGCCAAGGAAAAATCCATTACATTTTGGTGATGATCCAGATCATAATCTGGATACAGGAATTTTCTAAAAGATTCTCTAACATTGTGAGAGGGATATTTGTTGGAGCAAACAGTTCCCTACTAAACCAGAGGGTGGTAGCAGCGACTATTTACAGCTTCATCGTTGGACTCAAAAAGTCTGGAGGTATTTTACTGAAGACAAAAACACAAGAAAAGGGAAAGTTGTTGGTTTGTTAGCAGGACAAACTGAAAACTGATAGAACAGATTTTATAGAAATGTTTTCCCAGAGGTGCACCTCATGCCGAGGAACAAGTAATTTAAATTTGATAATGATCCAGATCATGCCATTCTTAGCTACAGGTGTCACAGTCACACTTTAATTCGTGGCAGAGGTCTTTGCTCTCAGATTACCTTTCTAGTTACTTTAGTAATTAATTAGTATAAGATTATTTTTTGATTAAATCTTAAAATAAGTATTTTACGACTTCATTGTGCATTTTAAATGAGTTGTAAATGGTAAAAACATTTTTAAAACACTTATGTATACATGTAATTATTTATACATCTATTGATCTATCTATCTGAATATAAAGTATATTTTTAATCTTCTAATCTCTGGGGAAAAAAAAATTTTGTAGTGTGCCTTAATCACTGCTGTAATTTGGCTGTTCTGTCAGAAAATGGCACATTTTGGAGTCTACCTACCATTAACCTAAGTAACCATTTGATTGGATTACTATATTAATTAAATATTATTGAATAATTGATGAATCATGATTAATTGTTCAATTCCTGATCTAATATCAATTATCTTTGGTTTACACTTTGGGTCTTCTTTCTGATTTAATAAAGATGGCAGCTCACATAATGGTTTTGTTGATCATTTTGAAACCTTGCCTTTTGCCAATGCTGAAGTTAAAGGTTTAATATTGTATTTTTTTTTCCTTTATCTTTACAGAGGTTCATCAGAAGCACTGCTGTGTTTCTTATCAGATTTTTCCCTTAGACCATTTTTAACAAAAAATGTGTTTTCAATACATAAACATTGTCTTTTATTGTTGATATTTCACCTTAACTGTTAGTCTGCATAACTTATGTAGCCTCACTTGGCCTTTACATCACATTCACAACACTACTGAGGGAAATAGCTGCTCTCTAAATGAAAAAGATTCTCTGGGGAAACAATATTAACATTTTCTCTTCATTCAGCCACAGTCTTATCCATTCAATCCTGTTTCCTTATGGAGCTTTATCTTTAGAAACAAACAGGACTTCCACTGACAGGTTGACAGTTAGATGACTGAGCTGTTTGTGTTTTTTGCTTAAGGCTGCTCTCCATTGAGAGTCTAAAGAAGCTGCTGGCTGGCTGGAACGATGTGGGCAGGCTCCCCGAGAGGCTGGAGAGCTCCCAGCTAGAGGTCCTGGACCTCCAGCACAATCACCTGACAGAACTCCCACACAACCTGTTTATTAAAGCACAGAGGTGGATATCTTCCTTTCTTATTTCTATGGCTTTCTTTATTGTTTGCAAATTACTTAATCTGTTTTCTTATATCCACACAGCTTGCGCTACCTGAATGCATCAGCCAATAAGCTGGAAGACCTGCCTGCAGCCAGCCAGTCAGAGGATGCCTGCAGCAGCCTGGAGGAGCTTTATGTGACAAATAACAGTCTGACAGACAAGTGCATCCCTCAGTTAACAGGTCATGGCTGCCTCAGGGTGCTGCACCTCGCCTTCAACCAGCTGCAGACCTTTACTGCAAGGTAGAATACTGTCAACTAAACAGTGTCTGTGGAAATATTCAATGATTCATTTAGATTTTCAGTGTGTTGCAATCGTAAACTGCAGATTAATCATTTGGTTAATCGTCTTTTTATTTTTGCATCCTGCAGTAAACTGGCTCCCCTGGAGCAGCTTGAGGAGTTGGACCTGAGCGGTAACAGGCTGAAAGCTGTGCCAACCACCATTCTCAGCTGCCGGCGGCTGCAAACACTGTCCGCCCACTCCAACTGCATCAACACCTTCCCAGAAGTGCTCCAGCTGCAGGAGATTAAGGTTTGCTCCCAATTGCTTCACAGAAAGCTTTCAAAAGGGGTCATAGAATGATTATATAGGGTATTTTGCTGCTGGTTCTTAAGGTCTCTGAATAGGGTGTGTAACATTGGTTGGGCTGAAAATGGCATATTTGCTGTTCTGTGTGTAATGCAAGCCTGGTTATAAGCCCTAGAATGAAATGACAGGTTTTCTTCCTTTTATGGTATGCTCATGAATATTTAGATGAGCTGTACGCTGATTGGTTGGATTACAGCGAGCAAAGCTGCTGAGCAAAGATGCATCATAGCAACAAGCTCACACTCACTGAAACATCAATTTGTTGATATTGTAGGGTGACCAGACGCTTTCAAAATCTTGGCATTTTGAAAGCTGTCTGCAGTAAAATGCTTAGAGCAAATGAACAGCTTAGCATCAAACTTTGCAGGGATCTTCTGATAGACAACAATAACCCATGCCTGTCGAGACTTCGGATCCTTGGGAAGAACCAAATAAGGCAGCATCACCGATTTGACATCAATTTTGTGCTTCTTTTGGATTTGCCCGTTTTATGGTGGAAGTTTAGAATTGTGAGATTTGCAGAGAAAGGAGGCGTCGATGGGGTTGTTATTCATCTATGACAATGGAAACTCTGTTTTGCATTGTTTGACCCCTTTAAGTTTAGGGGTGTAGATAAAACCCTAAGCATGAACCACCATTTATCAATAATGAACCTTCTTGTTTACTCCCTGATTCACTCAACCACCTGAGCTAAAAGTTGCTCTTAGTCCTTGGTAAAGTGGAAGCTCTTGGCTGTAGTTGTTTGTCTGTGCTCAGAGTCTATAACATTTCCATTTTGGATTGTATTTAAAAACGAAACAAATATTACACTCCGTCTTTCAGTGTGTGGATCTGAGCTGCAATGAGCTGACCGAGGTGGCCCTGCCAGAAGTTCTTCCACCAAAACTTCAGGAGCTGGACCTCACTGGAAACCCTCGACTCAACCTGGACCACAAGAGCCTAGAACTCCTCAAGTACGAACATCTGTAGAAAATGTTCACCAAAAACCCTCAAACACACAACTACATGTCGGATAATAATTTTTTCCTTCATACAGCAACATCCGCTGTTTCCGGGTAGATCCATCTCCCTCAGCCTCCGCTGCAAGTGAGAGTCATGGAGTCCCTGCGGTGTGGAGTCATGGCTTTACAGAGGCCTCTGGAGTCAAAAACAAGTCAGGCTTTAATTCATTTCCCTTATTTGATGCACATTTGTTTTTTCATCTATCTTTGAAATTAATTATTTCCTTCATTAAGTGATTTTTTTCTAGAATTAGAAGTCTTTGCTTCCTGTTTAAAGCTAAAAGGCTGTTTTCCTTCTCAGGCTTTGTGTAGCAGCTCTAGCCCAGGACACTTTCTGTGGGACTCGTGAAGCTTTGTACGGTGTCTTTGACGGAGATAGAAATGTCGAGGTGCCTTACCTGCTGCAGTGCACCATGGGAGATGTTCTGGCTGAGGAGCTGCACCGAGGGCCAAGACAGGAAGACTATATGACCAACACTTTCCTCACCATGCAGCGGTAAAAGCTCACCACACGATTCCTGATTGAGGAAGAAATCATCTGCTTGTTAACGTTTTTTCTTTATCGCCATCTGCAGCAAACTGGGCACAGCAGGTCAGAGGATGGGCGGCGCTGCAGCTTTATGCCACATCAGACACGACCCCGTGGCGTCTGGGGAACCAGGGAATTGCTTTACTCTGAAAGCCGCCAACGTGGGCCGGTGTCAGGCCGTACTGTGTCGAGGAGGGAAAGCTCAGCTGCTGTCCGACATCCACACGGTCAGGGAGGAGTCGGAGTACGAGAGGGTCCGACAGCACAATGCCATCATCACAGAGGTAGAACCAACTCTTCAGATTATCTTAGAGAATCCATTTGTTCTTTGTACCTCAGCTTAATTCACACTAATCCACTAATGAGAGGTTGGCTATGTTTCAACTACCTTTTTTCCATTTTACTACCTGCTTGTTTGTGGCTCCAACTCTTCAAAGTTGCTCTAGAATATCAGACGACTGTGGGTTACTGTTTGGGTGGGAGGCGTCACTCATCACAGCATATTACAGTCATTAGTTAATAGCAATTGGATGACTAATAAAACAAGCTAGCACTCTTAATCGTTAGCTTCCCTCTCTCCATATTCTGTTTAAAAAACACATGGCTTCCCTCTGTAACTACTTGCTTCACTCACTGCCCAGAAACTTCTCTGGTTCTCATCTTTCCCTCCAAACAACCGTAAACAGAGCAGCAGTTTGTTGTTTGTTTCATACATATCTCATTACTTCAGACCCTGGGGCTATTTGACATATGTGTATGTTAGGTATCCATGGGAACCAGCTCACATGGACAACATATGAGGAGTAGAGGGATACCATCTCTGATTTGTTGTAAATCAAATCAAATCAAAGCAAAATAATCACGTTTCTCATAAGCTTGGTTTGTTAAATCTGGATTATTACTTACATCATTTGGAACATCTAATAAAATATATTAAAAGTAATGGAAATAGTTACATTTGGTATATAATATTTGTAAAGATATCTTTTTTAGATAATGAAAATGCCTCCCAAAAGTCTTGAAACTGTTGTTTAGAAATAATTACTTTACTGTGAAGATTTTATCAAGTTTCCTGTTTCAGAAGCAAATCATAGGCCAACAAAAAAACACAAGTATCCAAATGATCCAAGGAATAATCAACAATGAAATGCATGTAGAGAAAAGTAAATATAAAGAACATCTTTGTCATTTGTCAAGCTTCATTCTAATTTTAACATGAGTATTGATAACAAAAAAAAACTCAGCATGTATTCTTTTTTAAGGAAATCTTATGTCATGTGTTTGATGTGTTTGACAATAATCAACAATAATGTCCCAGTTCTATGCTGTAGTGGAACCTGCAGCCATGTTGGTAAAAGTTATGTTGTAAAGCCAAAAAAAAAACAAGATCAAAAAATGTCAAATGTTGGCTTATTCAGTCTAAATGATTTTTTTATAAGTTACTTTTGATAAGATGTTTTAATAATCTTCATTCATTCACACTATTCACTGTTACTCTCTGCAGGATAACAAGGTCAGTGGTGTGACTGACTCCACCAGGATGATGGGATACTCCTTCCTCTGTCCCTCTGTGAGACCCTGCCCTCATGTTTCCACGGTGACGCTCACCCCTCAAGATGAGTTTTTCCTTCTGGGAAGTCGAGGACTGTGGGACTTGCTATCTCCCGCCGAGGCTATTGAAGCAGTTCGAAATGTTCCAGACGCGCTAGCCTCTGCTAAGAAGCTGGTGACGCTGGCTCAGAGCTACGGCTGCTCCGACAGCCTCAGCGCCGTGGTCGTTCAGCTCAACATCACCGAGGACTGCTGCTGTTTTTGCGAGCCACCCCCTCCGCCACCCAGTCCAGGACCCGCCGCTCAGCCCGCTCTGCATTCCTACTCATGCGGCAGCGATGGTGGGATCCCGCTGCTGCCCGCCTCGTCTGGAACGATGAGTGAGCTGAGCAGCGAATTCAGCACCTCTGAGATGAGCAGTGAGGTGGGCTCCACAGCGTCCTCTGAGGAGCCGCCGCCACAGACGGAGCCTCTCAGCTCCCATCTTAACGCTCAAGGCAGGGCTGGCGTGCGACGACCTGCCATTGGTGGGAGTGGCGTCCAGAGGCAGTTCTCTGGTGCGCTGTCTGATAACGGCCTGGACAGTGAGGATGAGGAGCCCATCGCTGGCGTGTTCTCAAACGGCAGCCGAGTGGAGGTGGAGGCGGATGTCCACTGTCTTCTCCGGCACAACTGTGCTCAGTCTAACGCAGCGAGCACAAACAAACCCATCGCCGCCGCTAATGAGCTTTTACCTCCCAGCCTGACCTGCCCAGCTCCCTGGCCTGTCCCTCCTTCCTCCCCGGGCCTGAGCCACGAGGCTCGCTCAGCGACTCTGGGCCGCAGGGCTCGAGGTAACGGCTCCGTAGCCTGTCAGGGCCGCAGCCAGGATCTTATTGAGGAAGCAGCAGAAGCCCCCATCAGAAAGCAGGGGGGGTACTTCAACGCCCCGGCCCAGCCGGACCCGGACGACCAGCTGATCATCCCACCGGAACTGGAGGAGGAGGTCCGGCAGATCATCCAGCAACAGCAGGAGCAGATGCAGACACACAACTACCAGAGACCAGCAGACTATTTCGTTACACCTCTCTGACTGCTGCCGTCAGCATCATCATCCTCTTCTCCACCCAGCTTCCCAAACAGAGTCCAATCTCCTGGCCGCTGAGCTCAAAGAAAACTAATTCCTGAGGTTTTCTTACTCCCTTTATTTTCTACTGTTAACAAGCCCTGAAACACAATGCAACTTTTGTAACTTTGTTGATTAAATCTTCATGTAAATTACTTTTACCATATCTATGATATGAAGAAGCACTTTGCGTTGTAGTAGCTTTTAAGCTTAGTTCTACGTCAAACGGTACTATAAGAACCGGACCAGCGGATATTTTCCCCGTTTGGGTCGCAGCTGATGGCCTTACAAGTGTCGGAGTTAGAAACTGTTAACTAACTCCAAGGAGTTTAATACTTTAAAGTGAGTTAGTCACTGAGGCTTCACTAATGTTCTCTGAGAGAAAAGATGATTATTCCCGAAGGCTGACGACGTTCCAGGTCCGTGTTCTCTAGGTGGTGCTGCAGTGTTTGTAGTTACTAACAGCACAGAGCAGGGTTACAGCAAACAGCACAAGAGACCTACTTTTGCTAAACAATAAAGTTTTCAGATAACTGCAACATGTTGACTTTTTACTTTATTCCTTTGTCTTTTTATGCAGCTTTTATTCCCCTTCAACCATCACTGAAGGGAGCAAAATAAGTTTCTTTTAGAGGGGCTAACTTCTCTTTAATTCCATGTTCTGTCACATGTCCATCAAATGAAATAACCTAGTAGGTCAGTCCATATGTTTAGGATTGTCTGCTGAGGGCAGAAGTAGAATTCATAAATCCAGAATAACAGCTAAAACAAGAGCTAGCTTGATCGGCACATCCTTTATCTGCTTTTCTGAGCTTAAAACCAGACTGAGGAGGTGGCTATGTTAAATCCGGTGTAAGTAATCCAGCAAAACCCTCATCCAAAGTTGAATAGATAAGGTTCTAGGATTATCGTAGCATTGCAGAATAAAAACCCAATGATAACTTGGTGGTACTGCTTTAGTTAAAAAAAAAACCTTTAATATATGTTCAGAGGGATGGGCAATGTTGTTCACGCATCGCTCCTGCCAAGTAATTCAGACCCTTTCAGGTCCAATATGGCCAGAACACCTTTTCTCTGTTTGCTGTCTTCTCTACATTTTCTCTGGGAAAAGCAGAAAGTGCTAACAGAACTTTTTGCAGCAGCTTTTCAAGGACAACTTCTAACGACTCCCACATCAGGGTCAGATCTGAGGAGTGCCGTCATGTTTTTTCCACCTGAGGTATGGATCTCTGCAACTCCTCCAGAGTTACACTGGGCCTCTTGGCTACTACTTTTAATGCTGTCTAGGTCTGGCCTGTCACTTTGATATTCCCTTGTTATAGTTTCAGTTGTGTTATACTATCAACATTTTCAAAATGACTGAGCACTGCGCTCTGATGATCCAAACCTATTATACAGTTTTCCTCACCTAAATTAGCCTTAACGCCCAGTTTTTCCCTGACCTGTCCGATTCATGGGCTTTAAGGAGAACTTTTTACCATCAAAAACAACAGTATACATACTGAGATCAAAACCCATTCAATAATTAAATAACAGTTGAGCTGAATTTATTCCGATCCTTTCAGATTTTTATTTGTAAATTATCTTAAAACTCATTTCCTTCCACATTAATAGTGATACCTTTGCCCTGGCCTATTATAAAATGTTAGTTTGGGGTTGCAATAGGAAAGTTTAAAGGGGTGTGAATACTTTTGCAGACACCATGCCTGATATTTTCTCTTTATTTACTAAAACCCATGATTTGATGTCCAATCATTGGATGCAGGTTTGCATTGTAATACAATGATGATGCCCCCTAAAGTGGCAGGTTATTGCAGTAAACAACAAACAGCCTTCAAATCAAGTCCATTTTAATTTGGTCTAATAAAAACTTTATTTTAGAAACAACTACAGTAGTAAAAGCATAAACCTGTAGTAATGTTATAAAAACATCAGTATAACTGCCAAACCCACATTAAAAACAAATCCCATTGATCTTTGGGCTTATTTGGTTTCAATGGTCCTGCTTTGTTACTGCAAAGACCACACACCATAACAGCAACAATTTCCTTTACAGAAAAAAAAATCACACAAAGTCCATAATTATGATTTAAGATGACATTAGGTTAAGAATATATACAGAACATAAAAACTCATCCACACTGGTTCCTGAGCTTCATTGATTATAAAGGCTAAAAGTGGCAAAAACACAAGCAAGCAGCTGAAGTCAAATGTAGTCACAGTTTCTACATTCTTTGTGCAAGGTCCCATCTGATTTCAGGACCCCTTCTACTCATTGTTAAATGTTTGGCAGCAGCTCCATTATAGTATCTCTGATCAATAAAAAAGAAGATCTGCTGCTGCTGGATGAAGCTACAGAAGCTGAAAACGGCTGAGGTTATTCATCCTAAAATTTAACACTTGCCTTAAAGGCCCTGCATCCACCAACAATAAAGGATGCAGCTATGATTAATGCTAATTCCTCAGGTTTTGCAGCATGAACTAGAACCTGTTTTTCTGTAAAACACATTACCTCTAACCATTTCAGGATCGTAGTTCTTTCATGATCCGTTTTACGCCTCATTTTAAGAGGAACAGTTTTATTTGGAGCGGCTCTCACACTTATAAGGGAAACCGATGTAACCAAGCAGATTTAGCACCTTCAGCCTCACACAGAGGTTGTATCGCCCCCTACTGGGGTCCAGTGATTGTTACCACGGCCCTGCTGCCTCTCCAATTCTCGCCTCTTCTTCTCTTGCTGGTAGCGCTTCACCCATCTGACGGTCTTAGCCGTGAGCACGGTGCCGGCGGTGTACAGGATGGCGGTGATGAGCCCGAACAGCGCCACTGCGGCATCAGCCCCGCCCACGTCACAGTTCATCCAGGTATAGCCGTTCCGCCTGTACAGCATCTCTCGGCGGCGGCATACATCCGTGGAGTTGACCTGTATGACGAAGTGGAGGTAGAGTCCCACTGCCACCACATAGGCCACGGCGCCCACCGCCTGGAACACCAGCGCCCCAAACAGAAGCTTCTTGGACATGCGGTGGGGAGGTTTGTTCCCGGCGACCACAAACAGCAATGATACCACCCCGAAAGTCAGGCTGAAGGCAATGCCGCCATAGATGCCGGGCGCCCTCATCTGGCTGTACTGCATGTCCAGGTCTCTGACCTGCTGCAGCTCAGTGCCCTGCATGTTGAAGTTGCTGTTGATGTTGAAACTACCCATGCCACCCATTGAGGACAGGCCCGACATCACCATCTGAGCTGCCACAACGCAGATCAGCACGAGGGCGTTGGTCAGGACAGAGCAGATTAGCACGATGCCTGGGGAGGACATGAGAGAAGAGGGGGATTTAAGTTCTGATGGTGAGACAGTAGCTACATTTACACGGAGAATAAACAGCTGATCGGCTGAAAAATGTGTCAATCAGAATATTTTGATCTGCTCATGTCGACGGACAATGACATCACACTACATTGGCTGTTTTATTTTGATTACTTCTGTCCATATGAACAGAATAGAAAAATTTTGTTTTTTTACTCTACATTTCAAATCAATCGTTAAATTTTAGGCATGTAAACAAAGTTAATGATCCAAAGCATCAGCATGTCCACCTCTGGACGGCTCAACAAAACAACATAAAGTGGCCTAGTCAAAGTCTGGACTTGAAGCTATATAACAGGCTGTGGTACAACCTCAGACATTTCATCAGTGAACAAAATCAGTTCTGCAAAGAATGAGATGAAACCATTTCAGTCATCAGGTATTAAAAATGCTTTGCTACAACTAGTCTTTAGGTTACTTTGAGCTTACATTTGTTTGATACAAAGAGAAAAAGCAAAAAACAAATCCATGAGGGAACAAATATTTTGTTTCAGTATTGTTAATCGACTAATATTATGAAACGCTGGGAAAAAATAAACAAAACAAACAGATCATTGATGAACTTGATTTTTTTTTTTCGAAGAATCAAAGCAGGAGACTCTAGGTTTGACTTCCTAAGAAGACGGCCTTCCTCAGCTGAAACTGTGACAGCAGTAAACCGGTCGGACTGGTCCTCAGAAAGACAGGAAATGAACTGCTGTGAAACCAAAGTCCACCCTCTCTACTCTGCCGCTGCTCTCGGAGCAGCTTTCACTTTATTTGGCTGACATATTTCCTCTGAAAGCCGACATACCTCTCCTGGAGCAGATGTTGTTACATTTGGAGTCACGGTGCTCCACCCGAGGATTGTCACGGTGATGCTTGGGAGGGGGGTCTTCTTCTCGGGGGTAGTAAGAGGGTCGGGTGGAGGTGCTAGAATACACACATACACAAAACAAATGACTTTACTTTATAGCACAAGTGATTTCAAACAGTTCCAATTCTAGACTAAATGTACCAGGTGGGTCTGGGTATGGCCGGCCCGGGGCCTTTTCCATGGGGGCCAACCAACAAAAGAATGACAAACTCAATATCTAATATATAATAGCTACTTCTCAAATTGTTCCAAGGGATGAATCAGTTGGTCTCTTCTGTCAGCATATCATAACAATAATTAAACTGTATTGATCTCTCACCGGAGAAATATATCTCTGCATTTAACCCATCCCCTTGGGGAGCAGTGGGCTGCCATTGTGCAGCGCCCGGGGAGCGGTGTGGGATTAAGGGTTTAGCTCAGGAACCCAGAGTGGAGGTTGTGGGGATCAAAGCAGGTACTTGCAAACTTCTCAGAGCACAAGAGAAACTTAATTAGTATTACACTGCAAAAACTCATCTTGACTTAGAATTAGAGACTTAGACAGATTTTACTTTGTCATTTTGTACACACAAGTGTAAACAAAACTAATTTGGTTAAGAACAGCCCCCTAGAGTCTAGACTACTGCATTTTATTAAGTGAAGCCTTGAAAAGGTACGCAGCAGTGATAAAAAAAAAAAAAAATGTGTTAAAAAACAATAATGTAAACATATGACTGTATAGGTACAGTTCTAACTTCCAGTTTTTGTTTTTTTAATAACCCATTTTACATAACATTTAGCAGTCTAATGGCTGTAAGTAAACATTTAAATAAAAATAAGTGTGTTTTCCCTTAATTTGAGCAGGTAAATGAGACGACCTAGCAAGGGAATTAATATATTTGCACTTCTAACATAATTCAATATGATGATGATGTTGCTTTTTTTACTTTAAAAGTAAATATGCTTATTCAATTGTCCCATTGTCTTACCTACCTGCAGTGGTGTCAAAAGTACACACAGTTACTTAAGTAGAAGTATAGATACTGCAGTTTAAAAACATTCTGGTAAAAGTTGAAGTATCAACTTGACCTCTTTACTCAGGTAAATGTGAAAAAGTATGTGCTCCAAAAACTACTTAAAGTAGAAAAGTATAAAGTAACCTTTAAAGCTCAATGTTTCGACTGTTTCGAAAAAAAATTTGAGATAGGGCCAAGGATGAGGGAGGTCTTGTTGGTCTCCATCTTAATTTTCCCCGTGTCCAACCTTTCAGACATTTCAACTTCTTTTTTCTGATTCCGACATTGTAGCATGGCATAGACAATTCATGATTGCAGTTCGAAGAACACCTGCTTGCTTCTGACGATTTCCTTTAGCTAACCAATGAGTGTTTGCGTTATAAGACTCATCCATTTACACTAGTTTTCACTAGATGTGGATGGAGCCAATGATCTGCATTGGATGGCACACATGACGGGAAATAAATATTTATAAACATAAAACTGAAGCCAAGAGTAATGTTTGTTTTAAAAATGTAAGGAATAGAAAGTACAGATACTTGTGTGAAAATGAGTAGAAGTCAGAAGTAGGAAAAAAAAAAAAAAAAATGAAGTATAGATACCTCAAAAGTGTACTTAAGTACAGGAACTAAAGTATTTGTACTTTGTTACTTGACACCTCTGCCTGCTTAAATTAACATAAAATACACTTAACTGATTTTGCAGTGTTTGTTTTAAGTGCAGGGACCAGAATCTGTTCTTTAGGGACACTGGCTCCTATTGACCCCTGTGTGAAACCACACAGTTTGTTAAAGTAACTTATAAAAAAAATTAAAGCCCCTTTGAAGTGAAAATAGCCTTATTTTATATATATTTAGCAGACATATAGCGCTGGAAGCTCATATGCCTACAGTTATACAGATACCAGAGAAAAAAAACATATTTTCTATTCGTCACCTGTTGGGAGAGGAGCGTCTGTCATCCCGGCGCTCCCCGTTCCTCTCCCGGTGTCCCCTGTTGGAGCGGGGCGGCTGGCTCATACCTGCTGAACACAGATACACAGAAAACACCTTTAATCCAACACTGAAACATGGAAAATGTACCTTTACGTTTTTATTTTTTGATGGAAACGAGGTTGACGTCAATGACGTTGAAGTTTGCGTCTGAATCGTGCCTCCTGACAGAGACCGCAGTAAAGGGACATTGCACCCATTTCATTATATCTTCATCTGCTTTGAAGAGCTCTAGTTAAACATCTAAAGTATTTATATTGATGAGACCTGTACTGAAGAGAATGAGGGCCACTGAAAAGATTAAAATAACGTCAACAGATTGTTTTTAATTTTATTTTTAGTTTAATATGGGAAAAAAGTCAGAATTCTTAGTAAAAAGTCATAATTCTGAGATTAGAGTCAGAATTCTTAGGAAAGAGTGAGAATTCGTAGGAAAGAGTCAGAATTCGTAGGAAAGAGTCAGAATTCGTAGGAAAGAGTCAGAATTCGTAGGAAAGAGTCAGAATTCGTAGGAAAGAGTCAGAATTCGTAGGAAAGAGTCAGAATTCGTAGGAAAGAGTCAGAATTCGTAGGAAAGAGTCAGAATTCGGAGATTAGAGTCAGAATTCGGAGATTAAAGTCAGAATTCTGACTTTGTTGTCCATATTAAACTGAAATAAAATGTAAAAATCAGTCAACTTTGTTTTACTTTTTCAGTGGCTCTAATCCTCTTCCGTAGACCTGGACTGATTATTGAATCCTTAAACCACAGTCTGCGATTTAATTTTAAGTTTTTCATAGGCATTAGGAAAACCACATTACGTTTTCTTCAAAAGCTTTAGAACATGTCAGATCGAGACTGATTTACTTTATGCTCCTTTAAAATAAACCTTTTAAATCAAGTTTGTTTTGTATTTTAATCCATTTTGTTTTGTTAATTTTTTTTTAGTAAAACATATTGGGAAAAAAACATATTATATGGAATTTCTTTATAAAAACTTTCCATCTATCGTTTTCTTTTTTACCCGTTAACAGAGACACCTTAAATAGGAGTGGAAAAAAAGAAAAAAACTGCAGGTTCACACTCATTCCTAGGGGCTTTTTTAAAACTTTGTTTTATTCTGCTTTTTTGTGGTCCAGTTGTTTTATTTGTTTTGCAAATGTTTTTGCTTTTATATTTCTTCTATATTATTATCTAATTCATGTATAGCACTTTGAATTGTCCATGTATAAAATTGTGCTTTACAAATAAAATTGCCTTGTCTTGCTGTTGATGGAGACTAATTAATCTAATATGCCTGTTTTTGGGAGAAAGATTTGAACCCAGGGCCTTCTTGTTAAAAAGCAGCAATTTCAAAAACTGCCCCACTAAGCAGATAAACCCCTAATCTTTTTTATTTTGAAATACAAACATAATTTTGTGGATATTAAAGCCAACATAGATGGCTTTCACATAAAGAAATGTGGTTGAAAAATAAAAGATATGTCAAACTCATATACCGTGACTAAAAACATATAATACCTAGTTTAATGCCTACCTTAATTGTGTAAATATTGAAAAGCTTGTACTTTTCAAACCTTTACAAGGTTTTTTTTAGATTTGGAAAACATTAATGCTTTGTCTCCAATTACAGCTCTTATTGTTTTTTTGGACACTAAAAAAAATATAAACCAGAGTTAATGATTGTTATTTTGCTTTGTTTTTTTACCCATCATTACAGAAACAATTATTACAATACTTTTAAATAACTTAGATGTTTGTTGTTGTTTTTTTCAAAAATTACATAAGGCTATTTAGATGAGTCAAATCTGGAATGAATATTTCTGCATTGGTCTAAGAACAATATTTTGAAGCCTTTATTATAAAAGCAAAAAGCTCTGGAATACAAATCGGAAACTAACTTCAGTGCCCTTTGGACGCTGAAAAGGTAAACGAAACAGGTATAAAAGACACCGAAACGCACTGATTGAATAAAATAAACTCAAAATGTACATTTTTATCGATACCAAACGATACCCTTTTTGTTGAGAAACTTGACATAAATTAAATGACGTCTGACGTGTTTTACGTCACTTTCAGCGTTAACTCGAAAAGATGATTAACTTTGAACAACAAGTTTAACTTACTGTAAGTTCGATGGATAAGGTCCTAATTCCAACTCTAAAGTTATTTCTGGATCCTGAAACCACCGGCTGTTTTCAGAATTTCACGCAGAGACAGCTCCACCCTAACCTGTAGGAGAAGGAGGAGGAGGAGGAGGAGGAGGAGGAGCAGCAGGGCTGCAGCAGGTGATCAGATCAGGTGGCTTTCAGCTGCAGCGCAGAACAGAGAGGCTTCTGGATGAAGATCTAAACATTTAGTGAATCAGACTCTTTGTTTGCTCGGACCTAAAGCAACCTCTGTGTTCCTACGATTTAAGGAGGAACTGCGCCTCCTCTGTGTTCCTCTCATTTAAGGAGGAGCTGCGCCTCCTTTGTGTCCTTCTCATTTAAGGAGGAGCTGCTCCTTCTAACAGCAGCGCTGTGTCTCAGCCAGCTTGTTGTTTAGGTGTTTGAAACTCCCTGACCAGCTCCTCTGTGCTCCTCCTCAGCTCCTCACCTTTACACCATACATTACTTTTGGTTTGATGCTACCAAACTGCTGACCTTCAGTCTGTATTTAAACATTTTAAGTTTTATGTTTTGTTTAAAAAAAAAAAAGTATATACATATATTTATATATATATATTTAAAAATTTTTGGTTAGAACTGTAAATATACAGTCATATGTTTATATTACTATTTTTTTGTGTATTTATTACTGTTTTCAAGGCTGCACTTTAAATAAATGTGTGTGTGTATTTTTATATATGTATATGTATATACATATATAAAATGTATATATATATTTTTTTATTATGTTAGAACTGTCAATATAAGTCATATCTTTATATTACTATTTTTTATGTATTTATTACTGTTTTCAAGGCTGCATTTTAAAAAATGAAATTGTTTAGAGCTTTTTTAAATGCAATTTTAGTATATATATCTATATATGTTTGTATCTATCTATCTATCTACCTATCTATATATGTGTATATATATATATATATATATATATATATATATATATATATATATATATATATATATATATATATATATATATATATATATATATATATATATATATATATATATATATATATAGGGCTGCTCAGTGGGGCAGTGGGTAGCAGCAAGAAGGTTCTGGGTTCGATTCCCGGCCCAGGGTCTTTCTGCATGGAGTTTGCATGTTCTCCCTGAGCATGCATGGGTTCTCTCTGGGTGCTCCGGCTTCCTCCCACAGTCCAAAAACATGACTGTTAGGTTAATTGGCTGCTCTAAATTGTCCTTAGGTGTGAGTGTGTGTGTGAATGGTTGTTTGTGCTGTTTGTCCCTGCCATGGACTGGCGACCTGTACCCCGCCTCTCGCCCATTGACTGCTGGAGATAGGCACCAGCACCCATCGCGACCCCCCTCGGGACAAGCGTGTCACATAATGGATGGATGCATGGATATGGATATATATTTAATTAATGCAGCATTAAATTCTAACCTTGTATCTGTAATGTATTGAACTAGGCGGATTTTAGTTGTAATAAACAATCTTTCCAGCAGAGGGCGCACTTTTTAATATAAAATAATTTTTTTCCAGCAGGGGGCAGCGGCTTCTATACAGGTCTACAAACACTTCCGGGACACCGCTGTAAACTTGTGTAAACAAACCCATGAATACACGGTTTTAGTGCGCTAACACTCTCTGTTTACAGCAACTACCGACTCGATGTCCCGCCTTTAACCCGGAGCATCTGGACTCTGCCATAGCGGCCATGTTATTTCTACCGTTTGCGGCTCGGAGCTGCAGAGCTCTGAGCTTTCTCCGATGTCTCCCAGGCGGCTACAGTATGTCCTCCAGAAGCACCGCTGCTTACATTCAGGGTCAGAGCCCCGAGCACCGCATCAGGGAGTATTTCTACTACATCGACCATCAGGGACAGGTAACTAAACACACCAAGAAAGCTAAAATATAAGGAAGCAAACAAATTGCAGTCCAGTTGTTCATTAGCTTTATTCTGTGATGTTTGCAGCTTTTTCTCGATGACACCAAAGTGAAAAACTTTGTCACCTGCTTTAAAGGTGAGAACCTCTTGTTTTTTTTCAGTTTGATCACATATATTCAGGCTGAGGGGTTTAACGCTGTTAAATTCTTTAGCTGTATCTTTATCTATCTATTATGGATGTTTGCAGCCAGCCAGTTCATCTATCTAGAGCTGGTTTATTGTCTGTCAATCTGAGATTAATGTACATTTCCTCTTTCATTAACAGATATATCAATTTCCCATTATCTTAATTTCTTTTTCATCTGGGAGCATTTACTGATAAAAAAACATTTGCCCAGAGAGCAAATATGCTAGCCTGGGTGCCATTCCGAACTTAGTCCCGCCCACAACGTTTGACAAATATGCACCATTTTAGATCGTTTCTAGCCTCTAATTTCCATGACCAGTGTCACTACTTTGGCAAAATAAAATAAAGAAAATAGGAAAATATTATATAACACATCAGATAACAGCATGTAGAGTACATAAATGATAAACAGAAAGGAAATATTGATAGTGTATTCATAAAATCTATTATTTTGTCTTTACCAGCCAATTTAATGAGTCTGGGGGAGAAATAAAAAATACAATCTCTATACTGCCCTCTAGTGGTGGAGTGTGTTCCTCTGTTTATCAGGTGAATGAAGTGTGGGTACGGGTAATTTTTTTAGAATGGAATATCTTCCTATAGGGTAATGTATTTGAAATATACGATTTTATGGCTTACCAGTGTATAACAGTCCTAATGTGGTTGTTTATTTCTGATCTGGGTATTTTCAGATTTATTTGTAAATTAACTTGTTTGCATTTAGGGTGGACTTATAGGGTGGCCCTTATTCATTGTTTTTTTTTTTTTTTTGTTAGGTCAGCTTCTTCTTCTGTCATGAATAACGACCAACTGTTGCATGACTTCCATTGTAGTTTTATATTTCCGTTGTGGCTTTTATATTGGTGTTGACACCTCTGGGCCACTGTAGACTTATTCCCTGAGTCTATCTTAAAAAAGAATTACTTATGTGATAAGATTACTTAATTAATGGTCGCTTGAATCAGAATTCCCAAACTCAATATCAGTGAAAAGTGAAAAAGTTAAAGATATTTAAGAAATGCCTTTATCAACATGAAACATTTACATTTTGTATTCTTAATTAGTCACATATGTTAAATAAGTGTGCAAATAAATGCAAAATACCCAAGAATTATATAATTTGACAATGTTTTCAGGGTGTTTGATGTATTATTCTATTAATATGCAAATAATCTAGGAAACTTAAACTAACAATAGCAAAAATATGTAGATTATTTAGTATTGATACTATGCAATAAAAGCCCACTGCTCCCCAACAGATGGGTTAAATGCAAAGAGTTCCTTTCATTGCTCTGTAATTGCTACAGTGTAATGACAATGGAAAAAAATAAGGAAAAACAGCTGGAAAGGGCAACATTACTAACCCTATTAGATAATACAAAGTGTTTTAGATTATCTGTCAAAAAAAAAAAAGTATGGTTAAAATGATGCTGTTTAAAAACATGGTGGCCTGTTCCAAATGGTTCCTTTTTGTTTTCGACAAGAGGCTGGAACAGAACAAAACTGCAAATGTGCAAAACGGTAAAGCAACGTAAAAAATTTATGTTTCAAACCAGGTTTTTTTTTGTTTGTGAGTTTTTAATTTTTAAGTAAAAAAAAAATTAAAGATCACAACTATAATGGCAAATAAAAAAGTTTATGTCAATAAAAAAATGCTAACAAAAAAAGATCTAACTTAATATAATTGTGATTTGCTCTCAGTAATATACCAGTAACTGGAATATCACATAACCTTATATTATAGGTGTGCTTTAATATTTTCAGTCTCTGGGTAACCTTAACGTTGTTCATGTTTAGCAAATATTATCATATTTAGCTTGTATTGCAATAGACTTTTTTTTTGTCCTGGTATTTTTAAAAAGATCCTGATCCCATTTTTTTTTTTTTTTTTTTTTTAGATCGTTGGAATAGAACCAGTTATAGACCATCCACTGAACTTGAGACACCACATATTATTGATAGACCTTTTTATATTTTTCTTTCTTAAGTGAAGTTGTATTTGTAAATTGCACTTAAACGCAAATGCCCAACAGCTAAATCTGTGGTTTGCCTTTAAATATAGATCTCATTTATATAATCATTTTCTGCATCTGATGCATACATTTAATTTTTTCAGATAAAAAGTTCCTGGTTTTCTTCTTCAGTCGCCTGCAGATGAATCGGAGTGGGCGTTACAGGGAGGATTTTCCCTTCCTGTCTCTGTGTGGTAGAGAGAGAAACTTCCTGCGCTGCGACGACCGACCGGTGGTTTTCACCCACCTCCTGCAGGACGCAGCAGGAGACCAGGAGCTGCTGTCATATTGTGGCGGTGCTGAGAAGCTCTCCGTTCCTTTCCAGCCAGAGGCTCTGTTCATGCATCCGGTCAGCGGTCGGGTTTATCATCCCGGCCCTGAGCGCTTGGGCAGGGTCGGATTGGTCCGCTCAGCCATGGCCATAGAACTCAGCTCCAGCTTTGTTTATCCACCAGAAAGCAGCCAATCAGGACAGCCCACACACGTTCTGTGGAAAGGACAGATGCACAGACTGACCAATGAGCTGGCAGGGTGCTTCCCAGCAGGAGAGGAGGCAAATTCACACCAGGAGGAGCTGGGTTAATATTACAAAATGGTAGAGATGTATTTCAATTTAAAACAAATAAAAGATCTAAGTTTTCCTCTCTGATGAGCTGAAACTGAGGCTTTAATCCAATCCTCTAGGTTCTTGTTTTCAGATAACATCTCTTGTTACACTGTTTGCTTCCACTTAGGTTTTAGTCCAGAGCCAGAAGCAGAAATTGGAAAATAGGACGATGGAAATTTTTTCATGTTTTTTTTCCCCCCGTGTTTCCAGATACATTGTTTTGTAACAAGATTACTGCTTGATGGCTGCAAAAGTCACAAAAAAACCCTGAAATTTACACCTTGATCTTTCAAAGGTGCTGGATAAATGTATTAGGAAAGAAACAGGAGTTAAACAGCATTTAAACTGATAAAGATGTGGAGACTCAAGAATAATGGAAGAAGATCAAAGTCATCTATTAATAATGATTTTAATAATTAAACTTGATGAGATGTGGGTTTGCTGATAAATGAATGGGACAATGTTATGCCTTGGAATCATTTTGGAAAATAATTTTTTCATCCTTTAAAAACCTGCTATCTCATTTGACTGGAAAATAAACTGATTAAAATAAAAGACATGGAGGAGGATGAGATGGTGGTCTGTATTCACTTTGAGCAGATGGTGTTAATAAAGGCAGCAGCCACAGATCTGTTAGGAAAATGTGCAAATATCAACACCAATAGACGTTGGATTCCATATTTGATGTAAATCTCTGATCTTTGTGTGTTAAACACTTTAAGATCTGAGCTTGTCAGGCTTGATCAATTACATGCCATTTAACTAGAACCAATGTCCAGACTTTGCTTTGTACATTTTGAAGTCTGCGTACCTTTTTATGTGTCTTTGTTTATTCCATCAGTTGTTTTGACTGATGAACCATCTCTTGTGTGATTTGGTTTTATCACATCAGAGATGCCTTTGGGATTAAACAATTATTTTTGGATGAATTACATAAAATTCCAGATATTTTTATCACCTCACCTACTTCTAACTTCTAGTCTTAATGTAATTAGGTGTAGCTTGAAAAACCGATTTCAGTAGTTGTCTGAAATCAGTGTGATGCTTTTGATAGCTATATATATATGTATATATATATATATATATATATCATCATCCCAACACACAGAGATTAGGTCCCCAGCCCCAACAACAAGCCCACTTAATGTAAGGGCGGCTGACCTACGACTGCAGATCATAACCAAACTGGATCCCCTAGTACGACGACCAAGACTGCCAAGGCTAAGTGACAGAGTACCCTCTGAAAGTCTTCTAGAAGATGTAAATGCTTGGAAGCCAAGTTTAAGGCAACACGAAGAGAGGTTAGTATGTATGGATATAAAAAGGTTTGATATTAAATATACGTGATAGTACTTGGACAAAACTTCTATTTAACAAATAGAAGCTGTTTAGTAAGTTAGGATGCTTCAGTTAGACAACAATTTAAGTTGTGTAACTGTTTTATATCACACTGATCACATAATCACCATTTCAATTATTAACCTTATATAGTCTTAAAGGGGAACTCCGTTTTTTTTTTTTTACATTGGGCCCTTGATTTTACATTATTACATCATGTTCTACTCAGCCATATGAGTTTTGTGTCATTTGTAGCCGTTCTGAAGATATTCCATTAGGTTATATCCAAGTAACGTCTTCTTATGGCAACGACTTGAAGGCACAAACTAAACTGTTCATAATTTGTTCTTTATGGTACGCCTACATTCATAACATGTAGGCGAATCACTATCCCCCACACACCCGTGGTTATATTTATATTTCTTTTTTTTTTAAAGCGGCGCTCCATATATATATATATATATATATATATATGTATAGATACAGGTGCTGGTCATAAAATTAGAATATCATGAAAAAGTAGATTGATTTCAGTAATTCCATTTAAAAAGTGAAACTTGTATATTATATTCATACATTACATACAAACTCATATATTTCAGATGTTTATTTTGTTTAATTTTGATGATTACAAATGACAACAAATGAAAATCTCAAATTCATCATATCAGAAAATTAGAATATTACTGAAGACCAATAAAAACAAAGGATTTATAGAAATGTTGGCCAACTGAAAAGTATGAACATGAAAAGTATGAGCATGTACAGCACTCAGTATTTAGTTGGGCCTCCTTTGGCCTGTATTACTGCAGCAATGCGGCGTGGCATGGAGTCGATCAGTCTGTGGCACTGCTCAGGTGTTATGATAGCCCAGGTTGCTCTAATAGTGGCTTTTAGCTCTTCTGAATTGTTGGGTCTGGTGTATTGCATCTTCTTCTTCACAATACCCCATAGATTTTCTATGGGGTTAAGGTCAGGAGAGTTTGCTGGCCAATTAAGAACAGGGATACCATGGTCCTTCAACCAGGTACTGGTAGCTTTGGCACTGTGTGCAGGTGCCAAGTCCTGTTGGAAAATGAAATCTGCATCTCCAAAAAGTTGGTCAGCTGCAGGAAGCATGAAGTGCTCTAAAACTTCCTGGTATGTGGCTGCGTTGACCCTGGACCTCAGAAAACACAATGGACCAACACCAGCAGATGACATGGCACCCCAAACCATCACTGACTGTGGAAACTTTACACTGGACTTCAAGCAACGTGGATGAAGTGCCTCTCTTCTTTTCCTCCAGACTCTGGGACCTTGATTTCCAAAGGAAATGCAAAATTTACTTTCATCAGAGAACATGACTTTGGACCACTCACCAGCAGTCCAGTCCTGTTTCTCTTTAGCCCAGGCAAGACGCTTCTGACGCTGTCTGTGGTTCAAGAGTGGCTTGACACAAGGAATGCGACAGCAGAAACCCATGTCTTTCATACGTCTGTGTGTGGTGGTTCTTGAAGCACTCACTCCAGCTGCAGTCCACTCTTTGTGAATCTCCCCCACATTTTTGAATGGGTTTTGTTTCACAATCCTCTCCAGGGTGCGGTTATCTCTCTTGCTTGTACACTTTTTTCGACCACATCTTTTCCTTCCCTTCGCCTCTCTATTAATGTGCTTGGACACTGAGCTCTGTGAACAGCCAGCCTCTTTAGCGATGACCTTTTGTGTCTTGCCCTCCTTGTGCAAGGTGTCGATGGTCGTCTTTTGGACAACTGTCAAGTCAGCAGTCTTCCCCATGATTGTGTAGCCTATAGAACTAGACTGAAAGACCATTTAAAGGCTTTTGCAGGTGGTTTGAGTTAATTAGCTGATTAGAGTGTGGTACCAGGGGCCATCAATTTTGAACCTTTTCACAATATTCTAATTTTCTGATATGATGAATTTGAGATTTTAATTTGTTGTCATTTGTAATCATCAAAATTAAACAAAATAAACATCTGAAATATATGAGTTTGTATGTAATGTATGAATATAATATACAAGTTTCACTTTTTAAATGGAATTACTGAAATCAATCTACTTTTTCATGATATTCTAATTTTATGACCAGCACCTGTATATACACAAATATATATGTCTAGACATATATGTATATAAATATATATGTATAGATATATCTGTGTATATATGTATGTAAGTATGTACAGTGGGGCAAAAAAGTATTTAGTCAGCCACCAATAGTGCAAGTTCTCCCACTTAAAAAGATGAGAGAGGCCGGTAATTTTCATCGTAGATATACCTCAACTATGAGAGACAAAATGAGAAAAAAAAATCAAGAAGATCACATTGTCTGATTTTTAAAGAATTTATTTGCAAAATATGGTGGAAAATAAGTATTTGGTCAATAACAAAAGTTCATCTCAATACTTTGTTATATACCCTTTGTTGGCAATGACAGAGATCAAACGTTTTCTGTAAGTCTTCACAAGGTTTTCACACACTGTTGCTGGTATTTTGGCCCATTCCTCCATGCAGATCTCCTCTAGAGCAGTGATGTTCTGGGGCTGTCGCTGGGCAACACGGACTTTCAACTCCCTCCAAAGATTTTCTATGGGGTTGAGATCTGGAGACTGGCTAGACCACTCCAGGACCTTGAAATGCTTCTTACAAAGCCACTCCTTCGTAAACCGGGCGGTGTGTTTGGGATTATTGTCATGCTGAAAGACCCAGCCACGTTTCATCTTCAATGCCCTTGCTGATGGAAGGAGGTTTTCACTCAAAATTTGACGATACATGGCCCCATTTATTCTTTCCTTCACACAGATCAGTCGTCCTGGTCCCTTAGCAGAAAAACAGCCCCAAAGCATGATGTTTCCACCCCCATGCTTCACTGTAGGTATGGTGTTCTTTGGATGCAACTCAGCATTCTCTCTCCTCCAAACACGACGAGTAGAGTTTTTACCAAAAAGTTCTATTTTGGTTTCATCTGACCATATGATATTCTCCCAGTCATCGTCTGGATCATCCAAATGCTCTCTTGCAAACTTGAGACGGGCCTTGACATGTACTGGCTTAAGCAGGGGGACACGTCTGGCACTGCAGGATTTGGTTCCCTGGCGGCGTAGTGTGTTACTGATGGTAGCCTTTGTTACTTTGGTCCCAGCTCTCTGCAGGTCATTCACTAGGTCCCCCCGTGTGGTTCTGGGATTTTTACTCACATTTCTTGGGATTATTTTGACCCCACGGGGTGAGCTCTTGCGTGGAGCCCCAGATCGAGGAAGATTATCAGTGATCTTGTATGTTTTCCATTTTCTAATAATTCATCCCACAGTTGATTTCTTCACACCAAGCTGTTTACCTATTACAGATTCAGACTTCCCAGCCTGGTGCAGGTCTATAATTTTGTTTCGGGTGTCCTTGGACAGCTCTCTAGTTTTGGCCATGGTGGAGTTTAGAGTGTTACTGTGTGAGGTTGTGGACAGGTGTCTTTTATACTGATAACGGGTTCAAACAGGTGCCATTAATGAAGGTAACGAGTGGAGGACAGAGGAGCCTCTTACAGAAGAAGTTACAGGTCTGTGAGAGCCAGAAATCTTGCTTGTTTGTAACTGACCAAATACTTATTTTCCACCATATTTTGCAAATAAATTCTTTAAAAATCAGACAATGTGATTTTTTTTATTTTTTTTTTCTCATTTTGTCTCTCATAGTTGAGGTATATCGATGATGAAAATTACCGGCCTCTCTCATCTTTTTAAGTGGGAGAACTTGCACAATTGGTGGCTGACTAAATACTTTTTTTCCCCACTGTATGTATGTATGTATGTGAATATATATGCATGTGTATGTATGTGTGTGTGTATGTATGTATGTATGTATGTATGTATGTATGTATGTATGTATGTATGTATGTATGTATGTATGTGTGTGTGCTATGTAAAAAGGTTTGATATTAAATAACATAATTGTACTTGGACAAAAAATTCTATTTAACATATAGAAGCTGTTTAGTAAGTTATGATGCTTCAGTTAGACAACAATTTGAGTTGTGTAACTGTGTTATATGCATTATCAGAAAGGTCACATAATTACCATTTCAAAGATTCATCTTTCATTGCTTGCATCCCAGCAGTACAGTAAGATGCTCATGGTATACTCTGTATATCTGTTAGTAGCTGAGATGCTCACAGTAAAAATAGAGCACCTTTTAATTCTCTGAACCTCTAAAGAAGATTTAAGTTTCTTTATAAAATGA